AACTCGTATTGAATGTTTTGGATTGTTTCCAAAATAAAAAAGAGACTTCTAATGAATAATAATAATTAATTAATTAATTGATGATTCCAAATCCGATCCTGGCTATTCACCTTTAGACAGAATTGAGTACGGACATACCTGCACTACAAATATCTTGCCATCCCACCTGTATTCTCGAAGATATTAGTCTTAGTGTAATTTGAATTTGGGCTGGTCAGACAAGTGTCACTAATTCTTATCACCATCAAGCAGTTGAAATGAAATGAACATATACATTTCGTCTCACCAACGTTTTATGGTAGACTTTGCCGTCCCAAAATGTCCGGACACATATTCATTTTAGTTAATTCTTTCGGAAAAAATAGCATGTTTCATATCAAAAGTGACTTTGTTTGACTCGCAAATTTTCATTTCGCTTGGCTTCAGTAGACGCCTCGCAAATGCATAATTCGCTTGTAAATCAAAGTGTCACTTTTGATCCTAATGACATTTGACATAACATTTGAACTTACATTAACCTGCAGAACTTGAATGTGAATATTAGAGTATACAGGGGGCGGTCTATTCAAAACATCAAAGTTTATATCATTTCCAGAAAAACCGGAAGTTCACTATTTCGGATTGTAATGTGAGCGAATTCAAAATGGTTGCTTTTATAATTCTTACCAACTTTTAAAAAAATCCGATCACCAATGCTGGACTTCCAGGGGTGGTCCGATACCCTTTCTCACCCGGTATATTAGAAGTGCTTGTATTTTGCAATGGTGAAATATACAGACTTCCAAAATCTGGAATCGCTTCATTTTTTTAGATGAAGGCAGTAAAAGTTGGAAATATGCATAGATTCTTTTGTCCACCGTGTACAGCTTTTCGTGTTGCCAAAATTTAGTCCGTTATGTGACTGAAATAGTGCTGAAATTTTAGAATGTTTCATATTATGGTTATCTGAACATAATGTCTTAAATGGCGAATCACAAACTTTGGTGTCTGGCAGAGCCGGATTTAGGTCTGGAGGCCCTGGGGCAACCAAGTAGTGGAGGGTCCCTAATTATTTTTCAAATATAATGAACAACCTTTTTCAGTCAAAAATCAATGTAATTTTATTATTTCATCTGCATAATATACAGGCTGATTCTCGGTGGAAGGCACATTATACGTTTCTGGAGAACGTAACTTGGGATCATTCTGAAAATTTGATGCCATGGATAATTAGTTGTGCTCTATCGACCTAAAATATTCTCAGCGCTGCGACGTTGCCGCTTATATTGAAAAGTAGCAACAACTTTGATTTTTTAAATGGGACACCCTGCATATTATTTCATTTTCAGATTCTGCCTGAAGAACTGATTTCATTGACCTATAATACTTGGGGTCTTGCAGTGACAGTTACAGAGATAAAGGGTGTGAAAAATCGAGATTTTTTCAACCTTAATATTTTCTTGTGTTGAAACTATCCATAATTGGTCAAAACGGTTTCCATGTCCCTATCTCAACTTTTTATTTACAACAATTGTTTTTTATGGAAATAGGTACAGGGTGGTTCAGAATTAAGATATTCAACCCACCCTGTATCTGTTGAAGGTACAGGGTGATTCACCATAAATGTCCCCCCCTCTAGCTCACTTATTTGTGAACCGTTTTAAAAATTCGAAAGATAATCTAAAATGATTTTTCAGAAATTTTTTTCCCGTTTCATCAGAAAATACAGGGTGCTAGGAACAAACGATCTACAGAGTACTAATTGATTTTTTAAAATGGAACACCCTGTATTTTATTGTATTTTTAGATTCTTCCTGAAGAGCTGATTTCATCACACTTGGGGTTTAGCGGGAATGATTACAGAGATATAGGGTGTTCAAAATCGAGATTTTCCAACTTTAGGATTTTTTTGTGCCGAAACTATTCATTATTGGTCAAAACGGCTTCTATGTTCCCATCTCAACTTTTGATTTACTATCTAGTGAAATTTAATTGAAACATTTACAGGGTGGTTCAAGATTCAGAATTCTGGTCACTCTGTATCTGTTCCAATTATTAAATGTCAGTAGATAGTAAATCAAAAGTTAAGATACGGACATGAAAACCGCGTGACCGATAATGAATAGTTTCGTCACAAAAAAATCCTAAAGTTAAAAATCGATTTTGAACACCCTATATCTCTGTAATCAGTCCCGCTAGACCCCAAGTGTGATACATTGATCTAATCAGCTCTTCAGGGAGAATATAAAAATACAATGAAAAATAGGGTGTTTCATTGAAAAAAATCAATTAGTACTCTGTAGATCGTTTGTTCCGAGCACCCTGTATTTTCTGATCTAGCGGAAAAAAACTTTATCGAAAATCATTCAAGATGATATTTCAAATTTTAAAATCGGTTCAAAAATAACTGAGCTAGAGGAGGGGACATTTATTATGGTGAATCACCCTGTACATGAAAAGTTGAGATAGGGATATAAAAACCGTTTTGACTGATTATGAATGGTTTCAACACAAGACATTCTTGAAGTTGAAAAATATCGATTCTTCACACACTATATCTTTGTTATCATTCCCGCTAGATCCCAAGTGTAATAGATCGATAAAATCAGCTCTGAAAATGGAATAATATATAGGGTGTCCCATTCAAAAAATCAAAGATGTTGCTACTTTTCAATATAAGCGGCAACGTCGCAGCGCTGACAATATTTCAGGTTGATAGAGCACAACTAATTATCCAAGAAACCAAATTTTCAGTATAATCCTACTTTGCGTTCTCCAGAAACGTCTAATGTTCCATCCACCGTGAGTCAGCCTGTATAAATATAGTCATAAACAAGAATTACTTATCTGAAACTGAATTTTAGCTTTAACGAAAGGAGCATTGTGTGCTTTTTTAGAGAAAAAAAATCGTTGATGATTTCGCTAAAATCTAGTTCCCTGAATAAATCGCCCCCAATGCAAAGTAGGGATAGCTTTGGTAGACGGTTTTGTTCCATCGCAGTTCCATGCCTATTTTTTATAATTTTCATTTTTGAAAATCAGTGCTCTCCAGTGCAATTTGATATCATCAAAAACAAATACATGCTCAGTGCAATTTCAATGTTTGGGAATCGATCAAAAATACACAATGAACCAACTCATTACATGTGACATTGATAATCTCAGATTGAAGTGAACAAATATGGATAAATTATTTATTAATATTCAAGGTATAAAATAATCATTTTTGTACAAATTAGTGAATTACTCTAGATACAACATCGAAAAAAAAACTTGTTCATAAAAAAGATCCATGGAGAAGTTGTAGCCCCGAACACCCTCCCCTAAATCCGGCACTGGTGTCTGGTCTCGTTTTTTGTTCATTTCTCGAAAGCGACGTGTCCTGTCCAACAGAAAGTCCATTTTTTGTACAAATTTGAATGGCACTTCCATAGGTATGAGAAATAGAATTTCTTCTCTACTGCTCATTTTTTACTAGTTTTTAGTTGAAATCAAACAATAATATCCCCTTGACGGCACTACTGGAACTCCGATAGGCTAAATGTTATTACTATTTCATTTGTTCTCAGGGTCACACCAATACGTCGCAATATTTTCGAGGTTTGTTCAGGGGATGCCTAGTAATTGAATGAAACTTATTATTTTTTACCAATGTTGGCACCTGGTAACTTGATGTTCGACAATAATTTGTGTTATGAATTCAAATATCTACCAATGTTGCCGCTTTTCAGAATTTTTCTGAAATATAAATAAAAAATTGTGTATTACAAGAATTAATGTTCAATGAAATTTTGCCATTAACCTAATTGAAGAATGTTGATTCCAGTGGTGGAGTCGAATTTTCTTGAAAAAAAAAATCGTTTATGTAATTTGCAATTTCAAACATGAAAAAAATCATAGTTTGCCCTGAGAATTTAAATTTCATTATGCAAACTCGTGCACACGTAGATATTTTCATAATCTTTTTTTGAACCAAAAAATTAAGAATCAATATTTATGAATCAAATGCCTATCTATTGAATGTCAGTCTGAAGGCTCATCTCTAGATTGTCTCGTTGTCTCGAGCCCCTGAGCAAGGATGGTTCTAAGGGAGGGGGGTAGAAGGGTAATTACCCCCCCCCTTCCTCCAGAGGATGACAATTCATACAAAAAATAGTGAAAATTACTTCAACAAGATAATTAACGAAAATTTGAAATCATAAGAACTGTTGATTTTTCAGAAAAATGCAACTATTCTCATTGAGCGTCTACACTAGTGTCCCTTTTGGAAGCTGTCGCAATATTTCGTTGCATTGCAGGAAACATACTCATATTATGAGTCTGGACCTATTTTATTGCAGTTATTTGTATTGCTATGGTGAAAGATATTTGTATTGCTATGGTGCAATTCTAGTGAATTGGTGGATTTTCGGTGTTTTTTTTTTTTTTTTTTTTATCGCTTGGACTACTTCGACTGCTGCTGCCCTTTTTATGATTTATGAACGAATCGCGGTGTCCCGATGTTTTGTCTCGTTGATTCGAGCTCCTGATAGAGTCATTTCACTTGATTCTTTGGGATTTTCTCTCCTCGTTGCTATAAAATAAAAGTATTCGTATTATTTTAATATATTTGTAGAGGGACAAATCAGATGATTTGCCCCAAAATATCACTGCGTTTAACACATTTTTCTATCACTGACAAGCTACTGGATTTTTCTTTTAGACTCCCTGAACAAATTTTTCTATCACTGACAAGCTACTGGATTTTTCTTTTAGACTCCCTGAAAGAAAAATTTGTTAAACGCAGTGACATTTTGGGGCAAATCATCTGATTTGTCCCTCTACCAATATATTGAAATGATAGGAATACTTTTATTTTATAGAAACGAGGAGAGAAAATCCCAAAGAATCAAGTAAAATGAATGCACCACCTCCTCGATTGACCTACAGACAGTATTCCTGATAGAGTGTTCCTTCATTTTTCAGGCCCAGGCTGGTATCAGAGGGCAGACGCTCCTGATCTTCTCGGCTGCCCTATTAATGATTTGTGAAAGAATCGCAGTGTCTATCGATATTTTGTTCCGTTTATCCGAGCTCTTGACCTATATTTTCTTCGTTTCTTAGGCCCCCTTATCCTGAGGACTACCTCGACATACAACGGCAGCCGAACAACCCGTGGGCAGAAGATTTTTATCTTCTAGGCCGCCAGGCTGCCTTATTAATGAGTTGTGAAAGGATCGCGGTGTCCATCGATATTTTGTCTCGTTGATCCGAGCTCTTGACAGATTGTTCCTTCGTTTTTCAGGTTCACACTGATATCAGAAGGCAGAAGATCCTGATCATCTCGGCTGACCTTTTAGTGAATTATGAATGAATCGTGGTGTCTCGATATTTTGTCTCGTTGATCCGAGCTCTTGACCGATATTTTCTTCGTTTATTAGGCCCCCCTATCCTGAGGAATAACTACCTCGACATACAAGCGCAGCCGAACAACCTGTGGACAGAAGATCCCCATTTTCTTGGCCGCTGGGCTGCCCTATTAATGATTTATAAATAGATCGCGATGTCTATCGATATTTTGTCTTCTTGATCCGAGCTCTTGGCAGGTTTTTCCTTCCTTTCGAATACCGCGACATACAAGGGCAGCCGAACAACACGTCGGAAGAAGATCCCTTCTCGGTCGCCGGGCTGCCCTATTAACGATTTATGAACGGATCGAGGTGTCTATCGATATTTTGACTCGTTGTTATGAGCTCCTTCGTTTTTCAGGTCCAGACTGGTATCAGGGGGCAGAAGATCCTGATCTTCTCTGCTGCCGGGCTGCCTTAATAATGATTTATAAATGAATCGCGGTGTCTATCGTTATTTTGTCTCATTGATCCGTGCTTTTGACCGATTTTTCCTCAATTTTTCAGGTCCCCCGATCCTGGCAGAGGACTACCTCGACATCCAAGGGCAGCCGATCAACCCGTGGTCGCGTATTTATCCCGAGGAAATGATCCAGACTGGAATCACGGCCATCGACGTGATGAACTCTATCGCCAGAGGGCAGAAGATTCCGATCTTCTCCGCCGCTGGGCTGCCCCACAATGAGATTGCAGCCCAGATTTGTAGGCAGGCTGGTTTGGTCAAAGTGAGGATACTATTCTATTCTATCACGTTTTTGCTAACGTATGAGATCCTACTGCAAGATTACTACGTTCATTTGTTATTTGATGAAAATCAAATTTTAACATAAATTCAAGAATAGGAGGATATATTTTTAGTGCGATACACCGTTGATTTCAGGAGATTGTAAGTTCTCAAAATCTATAATGAAAAATACAGGGCCGCTTAAAAACAAAGTTGATGATGACAGCTCAAAGACGAAACGTCGGTTTGAAAATCTGATAACATCATCTTGTAGAACAGAAAAAGAAGCAATGACAATTTGTAACTTGTTTTGTTACATCTATTCAAATAGTCAGAAAAAAATAGAAATGAAACTGCGAATATAGGGGTTTTTTCAAAAATCCTTGGAAGTGTTCAGAATTTTTCAATTTTCAAAACGGCATGTGCTCAAAATAGCACAACTTTGTCACAATTCAACTGACTCTGTATCTCTTATGGTTCATGCGATCCCAATGATGATGCTCAAATTCCAGCCACCCTGTACTTCAATGGAACGAAAATTCAATCAGGGTTATCACAGCACTGCTGTATTAAAATATTCCAAATATATCAATGAATCTGCAGAATTTTCCTCACCATTCACGATTTCACTCATTTTTTCGTGTTGGCATATACTTTTTGATGATGTATCTATTGTTATTCATTCTGAGGTGTCTATCTATTTGCTACAAAATTGACCGATTGAGATTAAATTAGACAGGTGTATACATATAGTTCCGATGACAATGAATTGAAATAAACTGAATATTTCAGATGCAACTATAGCTTAAATTTGGTGGGGTTTGCAGTATAGTTTTGATATCAATTCGTAGAGGACCATAACAGGAATCCATTGCCGTATCTAACTCATTTTTCACCAAAAATGGAGTTGTCTGGTTTTGAAACTAGCTGATTCATATCAAGGCATAAATCACTAAATATTTCGAACTCTGTAAAATCCGCTAATATTAGTATTTTTGCATTATAAAAATCTGTTGAAATTGACAAACTCAAAATGAAGATGAAAATACAGGGAACAATATCGTTACTTAGTTATAGGGTGTTACTCAGGAGTGGCAAACTATAGGGGTTGAAAAGACCAGAATTCTGTATTGAATTGTTATATGTATTTAGTTCTTAATACATGGATGGTGAAGTTACAACTGATAACATGTTTTACAAGTGTTCAGAAAGTAAAATGCATAGTCCCCTCCACTCCTCGTACATCACGCTATTCTGATAACTCAGGATTAGCAATCGCCGTCTGGAGTCGTACAGCTTATGGTGGGCTGATCGCGAGACAATATTTATTTGTATTTTTATGGGTATAAAATAATAAAATAGTACTATCAACTAGTATGTTTTCATTCAAGGTACCTGGCAAGTCTGTGCTGGATGACCATGAAGACAACTTTGCTATTGTGTTTGCTGCTATGGGTGTCAACATGGAAACTGCCAGGTAGGTGGTGTTCCTCATTATTGAACTTATTTCACTGATGCTTATGAAATCCTTTAAATAATCTTAAGCAATATCTCCTTATGATACTGCCATGTAGTTGTAGCAAAACGACATTGTCAACTCTCCCTTACCTCAGCCACCGTATAATTATGGTTTACGTGTCCACCGGGTATATTTTGCGATTTCCCTAATTCATTGTTTTTTACCGATTCGCACTTTTTATTGCAGAAGGTCGTCGCACCTGTCGAGTCAATCAGCTGTTAGGGCATCTCGGTCGTCGATCTCTTTTCCTTTTCTGTTGATATTATAAATATTATTTATCATCTGCCAAGCATAGGCAACCCTCGGCACACCCAAATGCGTGGATAGTTGCCTAACTCGAATAAGTTGACAGGTACTATTTTTGAATTTCGCTGTTTCTCTCGCACCTACCAGGTTGGTAAAAAATCTCGCAAAAACCTTTGACTTGTTCTGGAAGAATCTGTTCGATTGTTGGTATTTTTCAACAAATGGTTGCCCATCAGTGCGCGTTATGAATTAGAAACCGAATAATTAATCATCACTGCAAATTCTCTGTATAATTAGTGAATGCGAGTGGTTCCAGATTCGACTATCGGGATTTCCGGTATATTTGTCAATCGTGCCTGTATTCATTAGGTGAGTTATAAATCTTACTTTTTTTGATATGAAGCACGTGTTTGTGCTGTGCCGGACTTGGTCCTGAAGCTATTATTTATTAGTTTGCAGAATTGCATAGTGCCACTATAAACTTCCCCTTGCTCTGTATTCACCGGGGACGTATAGGGATCGTGAATTAAACCTGATGTTCAAACAGAACCGGTCTTTTTTCTTCAAACCCCCTGAGAACCCCGTTGCACCGCATAGTTTAACTAGGTGTCATAATATAGAGTTCTAGGATGAATTGAGTTGTTCCAATTGTGAAAAGGATCAAAACAGATAAATATTATCTCATCTGGAATGAATGATGATTTTTGAAAAATAAACTCAACCGCCACTGTAACTGTTGAATCATGTAGCCAGCAAGTTGATAGACATATGATGTCCAGGTGGATGGCACTGGGACGAAATAGCGCAGGACAAAATAGCGCGGACAAAAGAGCGCAGGACAAAATAGCGCAGGGACGAAATAGCGCAGAGACGAAATAGCGCAGAGACGAAATAGCGCAGAGACGAAATAGCGCAGGGTCCTAATAGCGCAGAGAGGAAATAGCGCAGGAACAAAATTGCGCGCGAAAATGGAGTGCAGGATCTATGATTAGGTTTGTTCGTTTGTTAGAGTAAAGACTCATTCTTCAAATACAAGGTGTTTCAAAATGAGTCTATACCCTAGCAAACAAACTAACCTAATCATAGGTCTACTTTAACAATCCAACGGCATACCTAGTATTAAGTTACTTCGTTTGTAAGGGTAGTCTCCTTTTGAAACATCTAGTATTTGAAGAAATAGTCTATGCCCTGACAAACGAATTAACGTAATCATAGATGATGCAATACGTTTTCGCGCTCAAATTTGTCTCTGCGCTATTTCGTCTCTGCGCTATTTTGTCTCTGCGCTATTTTGTCTCTGCGCTATTATGTCCCTGCGCTATTATGACCCTGCGCTATTATGTCCCTGCGCTATTTTGTCCGCGCTATTTCGTCCTGCGCTATTTTGTCCTGCGCTATTTCGTCCCAGTGCCCAGGTGGATATCCTATGTGACCTTAGTAGAGCATTTATCTGGCCTAGGATATTCGGAAATTTCCATTCATTTTGAACTAGAATTCATCATTGGCCGTTTATATTCTTTTGATTTGAATCTTCAACTGTATATACGCAGATATGCGCGAATGAGGACTCCGGAAGTGAGCCTAAATACGTCACAAACCTCTTCTCAGCTTGCATCCTTTGGCGTCAATATTCCTATAAAATCTGTGCAATATAAGCTAACAGTGTCTTTACAAGTAACGATCCAATCTCTTTTGATTTCCAATGATATCATACGCTTCTTTATATTCTGAACGTACTTCTAATCAAAACTTTGGAATGCAGTTACACAATATACAAACCAATTAATTCATGATGACAGAACTGTCAAGTTGACTTTGGCTCCAATGACGTCAATGGCATACTATGCCATTGTAACGCGTGTAACCTTTTTACTTACCTTGTATGAAGGGTTACTGCTCCGACAGCTTTTATAGTCTTGGAGAGCTAGGTCATGGGTAAGGACTGTGTTGTAATTTTGAATCTGTCATTTTCTATCGAAATTTTTGGGCACCACTTGACTTTAGTTTTATACTATGAAGGAAAGTTTCATTGAAAAGTCAAGAAAAAGAAACTCATAGACTGGTTGGAAAAAATTCAACATGAATGCATGATAAGTGTCAATAATTTTTACATAGAACAATAGTCCATCAGGAGTAGGAGTTGAGAAATACAAGTCAATGGGTTTTGTTTTTAGGATTTAATTATAACTATTCAGAAGCAAACCGATTTGAACAGCTTATAATATCGCTCCATGAGCTATAGGTATCTTAAATTGAGCCATCATTCAAATATTGCATGAGACATATCTATCCTGTGTACAAATATGATAAATATGGAAGAGAAATTACCAGATACACATAAAATCTGGATTATCACCAATCTTCATCAATCAAAGAGATAAGAATACATATTGGGTAAGTATTGTGTTGAAAAAAGGCCTTGGCCTCACCCAGTATACTGTGTGTTGCGCAGGGTTAAAATATGAACTTATTTAAAAGGTGAAGAAAAATTGTGCTAATGTGAGAAAGTGAAATTTGGCCTTAAATTGATGAGATTATTGCTACTATGAAGATTTGACATTCTCAAAACATTTCAAAGATTCAACTGATAGCTTATCTGAGATTCCAAACTGTCCAAGGTCCAGAGGGTCGCTTCTGAGCTCAGGATGAGGAATTCATCCTGACAGTGTGGACAGCCACTGATAATCTGCAAGCACTGCAGATGGATGCAGGAAACCAGAGGTATCCAGGTTCTCCAGGCAAGTTGGAGTAAAAAAATAAGTGGGTATCTCCCAATGGGCACCAACCAAATTTACAGCTACAAATGCTGCAGAACCAAAAAATTGTAAGCCTGACTCAGGCCTAACTTAAAACATAAGTTATATGGTAACTTACAACCCTAAAAATAAAGATTATTCATTCCCCTTGGAATACAAAACGTGACATGAAAACTTACCTCACCCTGGAGGGTTGTATCATCTATACAAAATGGCTCTCGCCAACATGTCTCATCACTTGAGCAGTGATTAGACGGCCCCTCATGTGGGTCAGAAAAGAACACAAAGATGCCTAGAAGACGAACAAACTCTTGGTTCTTGCAAGAAATGAATTCAATTCAACTTACGTCTCGTTCCAGAAAGGAATGAGCTCCATCCAAAATGTCGAAAAGGCGGCGTACATTGCAACCTCTCGCGCGGCTTCCCATCAGCGTCAGGTTAATAACCACTCAGTTGAACTCAACGGCGGACATGGCTTCTTTACAAACAGCTATCCAGGCACATTCCACTTATCCTGGTGACACCAGCTCAAACGGCCATGGAAAATTTTGAGGAACAAACCGGCCTCAAAAATAGCGACGATCAACGACCCACGCCATTCCCCTTCGATCTCCTCGCTCCAAAACCCCCTTGACCCCTCGAGGCCCCTTCGTAGGTAATGCAGGAAACAGGAAAGGAAACTACAACGCGCGATGCAGCGCCCTCTAGGAACCAAGATTTTCTGCCACGAAGATGGAAAAACACTTGAGGGCTGCCTACTGCCTAGCTCGACCATCCCAGACGTAATGAAGTGAAACAACAGGTAAGTGAAAATCATCCCCAATCCAACATGAAACAACTGATTTTCAAGCTTTTCTCTCAATGATTTTCTTTTCAGGTTTCATCCCTCTATGCAAGAATAATGGAAATAGCATTCGTTACAATCGACGTATAGGCAATAATGAAATGGTAATCTGTAAACGTTGTTTTATTTAAGAATTCCTGCTAATTAATGCAGATTCACACTAAACGCTATCTATTAGCGAAAAGACGCAACCGCGGAAACTAGTGCCCATACAATTTGCAAATTACAGAACCAGTTGATCGCGCTACTAGGAACCAAGAATTATATCTAGGCGACTGTATTACACGTTTCTAGAACCCCGCTCACAGGTTGCGCACCCGTCTTTACAGGTTGTATACCGGATGGAATTCTGAAACGCTACACGCGGTAATGATTTGGATCGAGAGATGCTCTCAAATATATGCGTAGTCGTTTTTATTATCGTCCCCCTTTGTTTTTTGGGGCGCTGAAACAGGATCTGAAGTCATACAATATCATTTCTTTGTGCGTTTTGTAAAATTGTGATAAACAGCTAAAAATTCGTTCGTTTGTTTGTTCTTCTTTTAATTTCATAAAATATTAATCTCCGGTAGAGGTCCATGTTTGCTCAAAGTGAAGTGGAATTTTCAAAAGGAAGAAGGTATTTCTGATGTAAATCAATCTAGGGGACATGTTTTGGACTTTCCATCTTCAGCCGTTTTTAGAAGTTACTACAACAAAGGCATCTTTGAGTGCTCGTCAAGTTTCCCTTCTGGGACTTGACTTTTAGTTTTATAAGTACGCGTTCTTAGGGCACAGGGCTCTTCATTTTTAATGAAAACCCGTTTTTTCTCAACCTCCTTTATTCATCAACGTAACCGCGATATTATGATGATAGACATCGGCATCCAATTTTAACAATTATGTTCACCTCCATGTAAGTCAACTTTTGGTTTTTTATAATATGTATATTTTCACATGCCTTTGCTTGTAGTAATTTCTAAAAACGGCTGAAGATGGACTTTTTTAAGTCCGAAACATGTCCCCTTCATTGATCTACATCAGTAATAAAGTCGTGGAGATGACTTTGAGCTTTCCTTCTTCCTTTTCATAATATATTGCCACACTTTGAATCCAAACGCAACACTCATTTGTGGCTTTCCATCCTCAGGTTCTTCAAGCAGGACTTCGAAGAGAACGGCTCGATGGAGAACGTGTGTCTGTTCTTGAACTTGGCCAACGATCCGACCATCGAGCGTATCATCACGCCGCGTTTGGCTCTGACGGCCGCCGAATTCTTGGCCTACCAGTGCGAGAAGCACGTGCTGGTCATCCTGACCGACATGTCTTCGTACGCGGAGGCGTTGCGTGAGGTGAGTCCGATCAGTATACATGTCGATATACAGATTGTCCCAAATAACTTCCAGATAGAATAGGATCTGGCATGAGGAAGTACATAATAATTATTAGTAGAAGATCCGAACCTAAATCGACCTTCACCGAGCTGATAATAGAACGAAATATATTTCATCATGAATTTAGTATGTATATATATTTTTTTTATTATTAAACCATTTTAGCATACATATTAATAATAAATACATCTAGCATTTTGTTCCTAATCAGCAACATGCTGGTGACGGAACATTATAATTGACATATGATTCAATAACAATTTATGTAGTTACCATAATATACATTAGTATACAAGCGACTGCGATGTTGGGTCCTTTATTATTACACAGTATACTTACCTCGGATCTCTCTGTCACACACTTCCACGCGCGTTGAAATTAAAATCTTTAAAATTCGCAAACCCCTAATAGGACCAGAATTTTCGCAGACAACCCTATATCAACGTGTTCGCAATTAAACAGCGCTTATGATGATATAAATTTTTTTTAATTATCCAATCCAGTGAAAGTAACTGGCATCAATATACCTGTGTTTACCTGACAACCCAGTAGTTCGCCCAGGTAAATAGTAGACAACCCAACGGCTGCACATTCTATACGTTTTATACTTTCAGTCAGGACAAAATTTTTTTATTATCCTGATGTTGCAACATTTAATTAAAAATCATTTTTCGAAAAATAATTAAAAATAGTCTGCCCAGGATTTTTTTAGCGAACCCATTTTTAATATGTTTTCTAATATACTAAATTCATGATAAAATATATTTCGTTCTATTATCAGCTCGGTGAAGGTCGATTTAGGTTCGGATCTTAGACTATATGCATTGGCCTACATGTCGTTATTTGATCGAAACTGAAGTAATGCTTGTTTCCTCGTAGGTGTCCGCCGCTCGAGAAGAAGTGCCTGGCCGTAGGGGTTTCCCCGGTTACATGTACACCGATCTGGCCACCATTTACGAGCGCGCCGGTCGTGTGGAGGGCCGCAACGGCTCCATCACGCAGATCCCCATCTTGACTATGCCCAACGACGACATCACCCATCCCATTCCCGATTTGACAGGGTGAGTAATAAGAAAAAATGGAAATGATGGCGTATCACATCTGATATGCGTCAACTAATGCGACTACAACGAATTGTTTGATTTTTTTGTTCATCTGTTCTGATGCCATTGCCGACAATAGTGAAATTGGTAAACACTCAATATTCCATAATGGAATAATTTTATATAACTCCTTACCTAATGAGTTGAAAAATGAAGAAGAAGCTGAAAAATTTTAAATCAAATTAAAGAAATATCTGCTCAGTGAACTTTAATTCCATATCTACTAATTCAGAATTTGATTACTTGTAATGGATTATAATATTTCCATTTTATATTTTATTTCGACTATTTTTATGAAAACCAATAATTGTGCAATTATTATTGTTTCGATTTATTATGTTATATGTATGTTTTGTTGTATATATATCCCTATTAGAAACAATAATGTTTCTTGGTGTATTAAAGCCAATCAATCAATCAATAAATGGTTGAAGAAAATTCGTGCATACATGGTAGGATATACTTAGTAAGCTATTTATTATTTTTTATTCCTTACTCATAAGGTATCATTGATGATACCAGGGGATTCAAACTATAGCAACATCTGGAATATCTTTTTTTGTGAAATTCACGGATGCAGAATCTGAGAGAATCGCAAATAACTTGGGCTTGAATGCAAATTTGTTTGATGACGACAACTATGGTTCCACCTCTAGTGGATTTAATTCCGAGAGGGAGAAAAAGGAAATGAAAGAGAAATTTCGGATCCTGAAAATATTTTCAAGCCATTCACTAACTTCAACAAATACATCACAATTTGCCAAGATTCCGAATGTTGAACACCAGGATATACAAATAGTTTCAGACACCTTAAGAACTCGTTTTTTTTTCCTCTAGCGTGGATTGAAATGGTTTTTCACAATATTGTGGCATACGAATCGTGTTTTTGGGGTAGTCTGACTCAAGCATACCATCACATTATACTATGGTACAATGCAAAAAAACTGCAGCGAGAGACGACGGAATATGATTTTTCAGGTAGGTAAATGATTGCTGGAATAATTATTGTGATCTAAAAGTACTGTAGTCACGCACAGTCCATTTCGAAATTTTGTCTTTGCCCTGTAGAATTCTTTCTGCAGTAGGAGGTAATAGAAAGACTTCTGCAGTTTCTAAAAGGAGACAAGAAGCCAGAAGTCATGCAGTCAAACGTGAGGACTGGTCTAACAGAGAGAGAGAGAGAGAGAGAGAATATACTTTATTATCATAAGAAATTAAATTCTTGTTGACAAAGTTTGCTTAAGTTTAAAAAAAATATATCAAGGTACCTAAGTCTAATGCATACTGGTCGATAATTAAAAAATAATAATAAAAATGTGATGTATAATACCTACTAAAATAGTATATATGTCAATTTCATACCAGTTAGTATGTAAAGTAAATGTAAAAAAAAACGAACCGCAATACATATTAAATACACAAACCAACACAAACAGAATTTGTATATATAAAAACAGATAACAAGTAAATAGGAAATCACAAAAGTGTTAAAATGTGTCAGAGTAAAATTCCTGTAAATTATAATAAGCTTTATGTAACAGTAAGTTTTTCACAGATTTTCTAAAAATGTTCAAATTGGCAGTGTTTTTGACATAGCTAGGTAGATGATTGTACATCTTGCAGCCGTTGTAAATAACAGAATCCTTAATCAGTGATGATTTAGGAAGTGGCAGACTTACGTTCATAGCTTGTCGAGTGACATAGTGTGAGGGAAGTTTGTTAAACCTGTTCAGATGTTTCCTTATCAAACAAACGGATTCTAATATAACGAAATATGATCGTGTGTGTTACATTTTCACTTTATTGACAGAAAGCATTCTAAAGAGAAATTACAAAACTTCCAAGTGAAAACTTTGTGAGTGACTACAGAATTGTTAGATCGCAATTTACCTGAATAATCTTATTTTCTCTCGTATCTCACAGCATTTTAGGTGCATTGTTCACCAACACAATGTCTTGGCTTGCTTGGAAAAACACGATTCTTCTGCCAAAATAATCAGGAAAACCTATATCAATCCTTCATAAACAGATAGGAAAAGTGAGGTTAGAAATGTTGCTTTACCTCCAGGGTCGGTCATCTGTCAAATGTTCACGCGACCTATAAACTTAGTACGAAATATGGGTCACTGGCTCACTGAAGCTATCACCAATAAGAGCAATTTTTGCATATTTTTATTGTAATGAACAGACCGTATCTTACCTTGCCTACTAGCTTTCCATTTAGAACGACAATGCCTAGCATAAACTTCCATAATAATTGAAGGGGGGAAGTGGCAGAAGGGATCAAGTAACATTTCCTGAAAATATTCGGTTATGTCTTGGAAGAAGGTGTTACGTTCATATGTAACTTCCCCTTGCAGGATTTGTTTCTATGCTTCATATCTGAGCAGATACATAGTGGTAGAAGGGGTTATATTACATTAAACATCAAGGACACAATGGAAAAAAGAGTTATGTGCCCATTGCCTACATGTCAGGAAATGGAAAAAGAGGTTACGAACGCATAAATCCAGATGTCTATCAACAAATGATATGACAGTCAAATGCTGTAAATCATAAAAAGTCAACCTAGAACTGTTCCTCGCTATTGAACGAATCAAATTATTAAACTAGCTTCCATTAGAAAATGCCACCTTACTTAACTAAAACCTATATTTCTCACAAACTTATATTTGTAACATAACCTCTTCTTCCACCTTCAATTATTGTTGATTGTCAATTTTAGGTACATCACCGAGGGGCAGATCTACGTCGACAGACAATTGCACAACAGGCAGATCTACCCGCCCATCAACGTGTTGCCGTCGCTGTCGCGTCTCATGAAGAGTGCCATCGGAGAGGGCATGACGAGGAAGGACCATTCTGATGTGTCCAACCAGTTGGTGAGTAACGTAATTTCATGAAATCATCAAATTCATATGTATCATACAAGAAAATCGGGTCGATTCTGTTCGGATCTTGTTATAACATAATGATATTTACTGTATAGTTTTGATCAGAACAATATCAGGATATAATAGAATTTTTATTGCAGCACAAAAGGTCAGACACGATTTACAATGCATTACACTCATCAGCATAATCTAATACATGCCTTGGTACTTGAACACAGTGGAATATAATCACGAATTATTACTATTATACATTCACACATAGATTAGAAGGCATATTTTAGCAAACAATTCTTGAATTCAGTCTCAAATGGCTTATTGCAGTTCTCATTATTCCTGTGTATTAGTTTGAATTTATAATACAATCCAGTTCATATGTGATTAGGGGAATTTTGCTATACATTTCTGTTTTGTTTAGATAGTAACTGCAAGATTGGTTATACGTTAATTTGATAGCAATATTGTTGAAAAGTGGTAAATTTTTGAGCTGACTTCCCTGTTTTTAACTCGTTAAAAAATGAACGTACTTACACCATTTCTGTAGTTATTTACTGAAACAAGACTAGCGCGAGATCACAGTTGAAAGAATTAATATATCAGTTGCCCCAGTCTCCGTCGGGCGTTTGGTATTTTCTTTTAACTATGGCGAGATGAGGTTTCTACGTCATAAGAGGGTCCGTTTTCAGAAGGTACTATTATTTATGTTCAAAAATAAAACATTCCAGTAAATTTTTCGATCGAATTATGTCGTCAATCATTATTTATTTATGAAAGGATCATTATAAACATGGTTTGAGTTGAAAGTTCTACTAAGGTGTACACGCCCATTCCATATTTAGTAAAGGTGGTTAAAGATTAACTTGAATATTTGTTTACAAATGATGAATGTGAAAAATGGAGGATGTTATGGGAACATTCGAATCAAAAATGAATGGAGTGGATATCGGAGTAAATATACATGGGTAAACTGTGGTAGTGGGTAAAGTTAAAGAAATAGGTTTTCAAAAATAGTTAATGTTGACGTGATTATGACGTAGTTGCCTCCTACCATCTTCATCGAAATACTCTACCCGGGTTTAACGGGGAATGTGAATGAAATATCCCTAATGTCATTCAATTATGTCAATGAACAGCTGTGCTCGATGGAAATTAGAATCGATAAGAAATTCTCAAATTGCAATGAGCTATATCCCACAAACGAAAGTTGATATCAGATAATGCTCAAAACAGCTCATGGTCGATGGTAGGTTAGACGTTCATAGAGAACGCAACAAAGGATTTTTCTGAAAATTTCGCATCTTACATTTTATCACCTGTTCTACCAATCTAATAAATTTTCAAAATTGCAATGTTGCCGCTTCTATCAAAAAGTCCTAGCAACTCATTTTTAATAGATAATTATTGCAATTTCAGATTCTCCCTGAAAAGCTAATTGCATACATGAATACAGAGAAAATAGTTATACACCAAGGAAGTAAAGAATATCATTATTACCCAGGGACCAAGATTATATTCCGAGACTTCTGCCGGTTTCAATTCCATTTATTCAATAAAAACATTTTTACAATACAAGGTGTATAAACAAAAATCTTCTAAAGGGGACATTGGACATGATAAAAATGTAAAACATACAATGTAGAACACTTAGATAACGCCACAGAATTACCCTCCAAGGGAGCCCTCAGAGGCAGCCGATGCAGGCCTTGCCGATGATTTTTGTCTAACAACCCTGATGGCAGTCATGAGGGAGCTGACTCCTAGGAGTAAACCTTTGATCTAGCTCGTGTCAGTGAGTTACCCAGGGCAAAAAAGATTGATCGTCGATTGCTACCTTTTTCTCTCTAATTTAGCATTTTTTGTGTTGGAAAATAAAAATAAAAAACCAACTTTTGAAATTTCTCTGTGAAAGACACTATGAGGGATGAGGGGTGGGATAGGTGTGGGAGAGTGATTAGGATCTAATGATTGGGATCTAATAGACTGATTTCGTATCGGCAAATATACTAGTTTTGTTAGCCAATAGGCGTGCTATCTCTGAGTCCTGCTCCATCGTAATGCTCCATCGTAATGCTCCGATAGTCGTTCAGCCGGGCCAAACGACTACCGTTCTCGTTCAATTCAGCTTCTCAGCTGTTTGTTGTCTAGAGTCAGTCTATTAGAGATGAGGGGAGGGTGGGGGAGTTATTCAGGGGGTTCCCTGAATACATCGCTGGCCTCATATATCAGCCCATGTTTCCTACGGATGTCATGATCCGCCCTTATTCTCGTTATATCTCTTGTGAGTTCGCTATTCTGGATGTGATGTTTATAAAATTTATTTGAAACGTTAATGATGTAATCTTTAATCAAGAGTAGATCATGACATTGAGCATGCATGTCAGCCACTCGAGTGTATCTATTACCGTTAGTAATGATTCGGAGTACCTTGTTCTGTAGCACCTGTAGCCTTTTCAGTTGAGTGGCGGAGGCGCTACAGTACACCGGACAAGCGTATGTAATCACAGGTCTTATCACTTGCTTGTATAAGAGCAGTTTGTTTTCCATTTGTTAGTCCTGAATTCCTGACCAACAATGGATACAATTGTCTTATGGCTGCATGGCCTTTACCAATTAATTTTGTGATGTTCTCTCTGAAGCACATACGCTTGTCCAGCACTACTCCCAGGTATTTCACTGAGGTGTTGACCGTCACCCTTGCGTCTCTGCCAAGCAAAAGCCCGTGAAAGTACTGTTGGTATATTTTTTAGTGAAATTCATTCATCAACTCAGTCTTCTCATGATTGACACGGATCTTTGCATTGTCAAAATACGGTATGATTTTCCTGTCCAGATGGATCTGAGTCCTGGCGACGTCTGAACTGTACGAATGTGCGTATACCTCCGAAGGGTATAAGGTGCCGTGGTAATAATATTATTTTATACCAAGGTGTATATCAAATTGTTTTACCTCTAGCAATATATTTCAATCCTTTTAGTTCTGTGAAACCGAAATATGGACTAATTGTCACTATGAAAGCACTATTTTCAATAATTAGCCATGACTATGACAGCATATGACAAGTCATTATTGATAAATACCTACTAGATTCGAGTGCCATTCTTTGCGAATCTCTAATCAGAACAGTGCATTCGGGTTAAATACAACAGAGGTGGCTATGTCTTTATCGACTAGTGGTTCGTAAAATAACGAAAACTACCTTGGTAGTGAAAACACACTTAACGCCTCGAAAATGAGTAAATAATGGTATGTTTCATAACTAGGGGTGGAAAATAGATATTTACACACCAAGGTGGTGAAGAATCATCACCCAGAGACCAAGATTATATCCAGAGGATTTGACATAAGGTCCGTGGTTATAATATTCTTTACTACCAAGGTGTAAATAATGGTAGGTACTATAGCTATTTGTGAAAAAAATACCATCTCATATTATCAAGTGGATCCAAATTGTACCCTGTGTTTCTTTGTGTTAATCGCTTCCATTTTAGGGAGTGTTTCTAAGAGTTTTTATTCATGTAAAAACTAGCATCAGAACTTCAACTTGAATCATGAATTCAACCCAACCCCATCCTAAAAAAAATCAAACACCCACACCCCACACACCCTCACAGCAAGTCCCAACATTAAAATACATTTTTCATTAAATATTCCTTATTTGATTGCCACTGATCAGATGCATGAGTCAAGTTCTGACCTTTTTTAAATTGATTTTCTTTCTATCAAGTTCATACCAGTGACTTTATTAAATAGAGTGGTGACAGTAGTGATGCAGTTTTTGATTATTCAGACCTCAAATATGGAGGTGCATCCGCCTGTCTTTTTTCTCCACCAGTTCCACGCATTCCCTATCACTTTGTCACTGTTTCTCGCTCTTTGGACACTAAACATCCAACAATCATACGTGAAAGTCTATACGTCCTTACCTCGGATATTAACTAATCTTTTGGGACTGAGTCTGAGATTATTCAAATGATGAAATGAAATTAACAAATATCTAACCTAACATCAGGTGGACACTTCTTTATTCAACAACTTAGTCGCAAATACATTATTGCATGGGAGATACCCTTTAGATTTTTAGCTATTCAGTGACTTGACTACGAATGACATTCCGGAACCGGCAGCCATTTATGAGGTCTATTGTCGCTACTCTATTTTATATAGTCTCTCTAGTGCATACTAGATGAAATGAGAAGATTGACATTGAAAAGGAATATTCTCAGATAAATTATGAACATAAAAAATGGATATACATATAAAGAAATACATTGAGAATTCGCGTTCTCTTTGTGATGGAAATATCAATTCTTTCTCGGTTTATTCAAGAGAAAACGACTACTTTCTTGGCTATATACCACGACGAACATTGAATTATATCTTAACTGTTGAACATCCAAAAAGAGCATGAACAATTATCTCCACAAATTGTTTTAAAAAATGCTTCTGCTGATGATGAATGCAAATTATCAAGTTCAGAAGATTTAGTTTTCAAATTCTTATCGTGTGTGTTCAATAGATATAATTCATATAGCCAGTAAGTAGTTTTCTGTTGACTATTCCACTCTTGATCTCGAGAACCAATCAGAATCGACCATTTTCACGGTTTATTTTGTATTCTAGCGATATTTTTTGTTTATTAAATTTTATCGGACTTGCTCTACCAATATAGGAGCCGAATTGACCCACACATGAAAAACAAACCTCGTTCATCAGCGATAAAATTTTGACATCGTGTCTGGTCAAGATTGCTTTGGATTCAAATCTGAGACAGAATTATCAAACAATATTCGTTTGTATCAGAATTCATCATTAAAAATATATGCGAAAAGTAGACGAAAGTGAAATCGAAGAAAATGTTCTGGTACTTGCATATCTCCAAGAAGTGTAAAAATGAAGCATCCATCTTTGAGAACAATAATTTATTTATTCTGCGCTGAGCATGACAATAAACGTGAAATAAAGGTTAGTAAGTAACAATGGACTGGACACATCTATACAAGTTCTACAACCAATATCACTTATACGTGTCTCGCTGGTTGCATGCAGTTGCATGTATTATATTCTCAATTCCCATTCCTTTCGAATTATTTTGTAGGTTAGCAGGAATAGCAGGTATGTTAATGTAATTTTCGGTGTTCGCAGAAAAAGCATAGTATGCTCGCTCCGCTCGTGCTTAAAATACTCGTTACTAAAAGGACGTTTATAACACTTGTTACATAATATACTAATAAGTACCTACTTAATTTTATTTATTTATAATTCGCGTTAGTGAGACATTTTGTACGAAAGGCGAGTCAATTTTATTCTGGCTGGACGTTGCATGTGTAATTTAAAAAGTTTGCATATTTGTTGACGGTCTGACACAACAATACTAGAATTCAAATTCCTTTTTAAAGTAATCTTCTTCAATCACTCAAGTTATTGTGACTATGATAATTACCAGGTGATGTGGCGCAAATGATAGGGTTGTTGCGCGAAGATACGAAGGTCGATGGTGCGAGCCCCTCGACGACGATATCTTTTTTTTTAATCATTTCATATGTGTCACATAAATTCAATTTATTTTATTTGAATTGGATAGCAATTGTATACACTCTTTTGAGAGCATCCATCTCCAAGATAATAAAAAACATACTGTTTATCAAAATGGTACATTCCACTCTGTGAATAACTATTTCTCATATATAATGTCTCATTCAATCATGAAATAGCCATACGAATACAACTCGTGATACTATTTTTCCTGGAAATATTCGTCGATTGACATACTCCAGCTTGCTGCTCTAATTTCTAAATTACTAGGCAACAAGCTGTCGTAACAATTACCGAATATTTCCGACAAAATATTATCACTTGTATTACGTATGAATAAACCGAGAAAGAATTGATATTTTTATCACAAAGAGAATGCGAATTCTCAATGTATTTCTTTACATGCATATCCATTTTTTCATTTTTTATGTTCATAATTTATCTGAGAATATTCCTCTTCAATGCCTTCACCCAATCAAGGGATTCAAACTTGAACGATTGAGACTTGTTATTTTTATAGACCTTCAATCGCAGATTCGTGATTAGGTTTCTCCATTTAGAATATCTTGCCATGTCCTGTATGATGAATATCAATTCTTCATACATCCAAAAACGAAAAATTTTTAATTTTTTTCAGTACGCCTGCTACGCCATCGGTAAGGACGTGCAAGCCATGAAGGCGGTAGTGGGTGAGGAGGCCCTCACGCCCGACGACCTCCTCTACCTCGAGTTCCTCACCAAGTTCGAGAAGAACTTCATCACGCAGGGCAACTACGAGAACCGCACCGTCTTCGAATCGCTGGACATCGGCTGGCAGCTGCTGCGTATCTTCCCCAAGGAGATGCTCAAACGTATCCCGGCCTCCATCTTGGCCGAGTTCTATCCGAGAGACTCGCGCCACTAAGAAGAAGAAGAAGAATCATTTTCTCAGCGTTACGAATGTCCACTTGTATTTTATTCCATAGTCGATCGTACTGTTTAAGTTTTAAGCCTATTTTCGGGTGCAATCTGTAAATAGTCAAGCCAAAAGGAAAGCACATTATTCTGATCGTTGTACATTGATATCTAATTTTCCTGATTGCCGTAACGAGTGTTTTGAATCGTCTAGATCAGCATAAGACAATACTGTTGATTTTATCTTTCTTGCATTTTCAGCTCAATGGAGAAACAAGAACGGTTACTTTGTTGTTCTCACCATCCTTTTCAGCAAAATTTTTAACATTCGCCGCGACACATAGAGTAGAAACATTTATGTGTCTTTATGACGCATTCATCTACACATCTACTGGTCCACTGTTTGGAAACAATCATTGTAAAGGTGCATTTTTACCAGATCGAAGGTGGGCATCATTGCGCTTTTAGATTGCTTCGATTGACAAATTCATATAAACTATTTGGTCAAAGGTGTATAAATCACATCAAATTGACATATACGCGATATGACGTAAGGCCAGTTATAATATAACGATGTGTGAGAAGTTTCCTAATCTATGTGTCAAAATTCTTGGAGTATTTCAGTTGATGAGGTCAATTGGTGGCGCTCTCTGTGAGAATTTATATGGGCTCGTCAACTATTTTGTTCTCCGTTTAGCTGAACATTTTTGACAGCATTGTTAACCATCACTGATCGAAACTGCAGTTTTTTCCAACTCAAATGGCTTTAGGTCGAATTATGGTTTTCATAATCTTAACCTACAACCGTTTTTGTTGACTGAATTGTGGTTAGTAACATTTGGTTGAGATTGCTGTCTCCTATCATTTTTTTGTTTTTTCCCTCATTTTCCAAAGTGGAAAACCAACATTCCATTGTTTCATTGCCCAAGTTGTATAAAGCAATACACCTATCTATACAGCTTCAGTATTCTTATTTTCTAGATGGTGAAAGGATTTTTTCTTGATGTAGGTTTTGACATTTTTCGATGTTACTGTAAAAATCTAATTTTATGATTTAGATTAGTGTATAAAAATGTTGTGAATAAAACAATATACATATGTTTCAACAGTCGTTTCATTCTTGTCATAATGACAAGGTCGTCTGAATCCATGACTAAATAACAATATGGATAGACATCATCAAAAACTATATCCGAGTTCTATCCGATGACTCGCGCCATTAAGCAAAGATTCATTTTATCCGCGTTACAAATGTCCACTTGTATTTCATTCCATAGTCGATCTTACTGTTTTAAGCTTATTTTCGGGTGCAATCTGAATAGTCATGTCAAACATACAATACATATTTATGTATTTCAAGCTCAATGGAGAAACAAGAACACTGGAATATGGTTCTTAAAACGCCCTTCGTTTTCGGATACTTCTATTGACAATTTCATATTAATTAATTCGTAGAAGACAGCCGGCTCTATAATAAGCCATGGTGAGAGAAATGCAACACCGCATCGCCGTGATTCGGAGTTCATTGGATTCGAAAGGCCTACTCTCAGAAGTGACTAAAACTTTCGAACCATTCCCATCACGTGATATGTTGAGATTTCTGGTTTTTGATAATTATAAAATATGACAATGAGGTTTGGGAATGGTTCGTCTACTTTCGACTGGAGACCACGGTGCAACAACATAGGAAAACAATGCTACTTCAACGCTAACGTAACGTCAATAACAACGTTTCGCTAACCTAACGTCAATAACGTTTCACTTATAGTTTGATCACTAGAATATTCCTTAAACTTTTCACTGGCTTTCAACAATATTTCACATTGATAGCACATCAATTTACTCTTGAAAACTAAACATTTTTATTCCGTCGCATCCACAATAAGCGGTATACCTATATCGCGTACATGTGTGAATGGCCGACGAAAGACCTTTTGGACAGTGTTGCCAGGCTGCCACAACGTGGCTTTCTATTCAAAGCAGTGTTCAAAGCGGGCTATGGTGAAGGGTGTAGGAACCGCATCAAATTGATCGTTTCAATTTCTATGAACGAGGCGACTTATAAAATGACCCTTTAAAAGATTACATGTTTACAATTCTGTCCTTTTTTTTAAATGGGTACTCAAATCTTAAGTTCTCATACAACTTGTATTTTGTGATATTTGTGAATATTTTTGAATTGAGAAATTAAGAATATGATTAGGTTTGTTCGAAAATGTTTGTTTTGTTTGTTTCTATTTTATTGGAAATAGGTTACTCTTCTGATTACTGAAAGTACATAATGTTTTGACGTCATAGGTCTATTTCATTATCCTTTCTTGCAATTCGTATAGCATAAAATGGATCTTGAACAGATCTATTGGAATCTACTGAATTTTTGACAAGGTACTTACGGAATAAAAATATCGAACTTGCAACCCTGGTCCGCGCGGAGAGTGAGTTGACAACAACTGTCATTTGCTGTTGTCAAATTAATTCTTGACGAAATCCGATAATTTCACGTGTGAATAGGACCGTGATGTGAATATAAGTGTTTGAGGTCGACGAAAAAATACCTCTATTGTCTTGCCAAATTGCTAGTCTCGGCTATCAATTTGCAGACTTGACTATAATAGACAGTGTTTCGTCGTTGGTACATAAATAACTATTTTTTAAAAAGTTATTTTTTACTTTCATTTTTTTTTTCAGTTATTGCTGGCTAGGTTTCTCAGTATATAACTCCCAGCCATTTATCCAAATTACACAAGTCAATCAATCAAGTTAATCATTCGATATGTTACAAGCTTAATAATAGATTTTTCATACCTGCATTTATGTTATAAGTGAACCCTTTCATTTTTAAGGAAAGCACAAAAAACTTCATACGCCATATTGGATTTAGAACGATGTCACAATTACAGAAATACATAAATAATAACTATTCCGCCATATTGAGTTTAGAACGTCACATTATTTTTTTAGTTGCTCTCAACGAGCCTTTTCATTTGATACCCATATTGTAGAATATTAAAAATATAACTATTCCGCCACCTTGGATTGTCCGCCATATTCGATTTAGAAAGACGTCACATTATTATTCGAGTTGCTCTCAACGAGCCCTTTTATTTGATACCCATATTGTAGAAGTGCATTAGAAATAACGAATACGCCATCTTGGATGGTTCGCCATATTGGATTAACGTCACACACCTTATCGTGCATCGTCATTCAAACTAAAAACGTGTATGAAAATTTCAGCTCAATCGGTTTAAGACTCGGTTGAAAATATCTATGTTCATTTCTTATGGTGAGTCCTGTGACAATGTACAGTGAGTACAGTTTTCCACCATAGTCATGATATCTCAGTTATATCTTTAGAGAAGGTTTTCGCGGTCCTGTGTCACTTTTTTGTGAAACTCAAGATGGAATAATCAGATTTTGCTGTACTGTACTGTTCACAGGAATCTGGTAACCAAATCTTAATGAAGCCCCCTGGTACTGTTGTATCTCTACTGCGCATGCTCACATGTATTATAAATATGATATGCTACTGTTTAATATAAATAAAACATGGCATGAAACGTATACAAATTTATATCAGAAATGCATTCAGAACACAAAAATTTACATACTAATACCTATACAGGGTGAGTCAAAAATGTGTACCGAGCTTTCTGGGGGTGATAGAACATTGAAAAATAAGTGTAGTTTGATGATTAAACTCATGGCCCAAAATGCAGATTAAGGGAGATATATCCTTCCAAAGTTGATAAAATTAAAATAATTTCTCCGCATAACTTCTGAACGATGAAAGCCACCCGATTGAAATTTTGTGCATGAATGTATGTTGTCAAAATACATTTTTTCGTCACACTTCCACATTTCTGATATTGTTATAAAGGGTGTTTTCAGAGGGTGAGTCATGATTTTTTGTAGAAAACTTTTTTCCCTGTATTATTTTCGGTAAAAAAACAGGAGCATTTGATGGAGCGAAGAAAATTACATGAAAAAGGTACTCTTATTCAAATACAAAAAATTGAGCCGTTCGTGAGATATTTGAGTTTTTGTAGTTACATGATATCAGCAGATTGATTTTATTCATCACGAGATTCATCGGTAACAATATTTTAGCAGGCCATGATGAATAATTTTGTTCTCAATTTTGACGTTCATGTCATCAACATTCGAGTCAACATTGTTGTAGTTGATTTATTCGTGTGGTTTTTCTGTGTCATTCATCACACTGCGATTATCAACTGAGATTTTAAGAAATATGGCAGGTTATTCGTTCTCTGAACAAACTGATATGCTTGTAATGCTTGGCGAGTGCTTCGGAAATGCAAATGCTGCTGTGAGACGATATGCAGAGATGTTTCCCGCTCGACGAGATCCAAATTCGAGAACAATTTTGAGGATTGTACAAAGACTGCGTGAAACAGGATGTTTGAAAACCAATAATAGAAATGGTGGCCGACCCAGAAGTGCGAGAACTGTAGAAGTTGAAGAAGAAGTATTAAATACTGTGGAACAGAATCCGGAAATAAGTACAAGGAAATTAGCAAGCCGAATAGACACAACACTAATAATCTCTGACACAAGCGAATGTAACCATCAGGATTCTCAGAGAGCAACAGCTACAGCCTTATCATTATTTGCAGGTACAAGAACTGTTACCACGAGACAATGAAATAAGATTGAGATTTTGCGAAGAGTTGCTGGAACGAACTCGAAGATGTCCTGAGTTTTTAAACAAAATATTGTTCACAGACGAAGCAACTTTTACTAGAAACGGTGTTTTCAATTCGTGCAACACTCATTTCTGGGCTGACGAAAATCCACACGTTGTTAAAGTAACGCATTTTCAATATAATTTCAAAGTGAACGTCTGGGCTGCGACTTTAGGAGACAAATTCGTTGGATACTACATGTTCCCAGGGTCTCTGAATGGTGCAATGTACCTCAACTTCTTAGAAAATGAGACATTCCTCTCAACATACGTAGGGAAATCTGCTTTATGCATGATGGAGCACCACCTCATTATGTAATAGTTGTACGTGAATGGCTTAATGATAATTTCCCTGATAGGTGGATAGGACGAGGCATAGACGCTCCTATTTCCTGGCCCGCTCGTTCGCCTGACCTCAATCCACTAGATTTTTCGATCTGGGGTTACATGAAATCTAGGGTTTATTCAAGCGAAATTCGAAATGTTGAGGAGCTGAGGCAAAAAATTGTGAACGAATTTAAGTTGTTGAAAAATGGTCACCAAACTATGAACGGTTTGATGAATAATTTACGTAAACGCCTCAGAGATTATGTATAACCGAAAACGGTGGACATTTCGAACAGCTACTTCGATTTGTTTTTTCCTTTTTCTTCCATTCGAAATTATGTATTAATTAAAAGTATCAAAAACATTATCAAACTATTATTTTTATTCAAACCTTGTTGGGACAGACTTATGCTATGTACTTATTGCTCAGTAACGTGGCACAGGTAGGTGATATTATCGACAAAATTGAAAACAAAATTGTTCATGGCCTGCTGAAATATCGATACCGATGAATCTCGCGATGAATAAAATCAATCTGCTGATATCATGTAACTACAAAAACTCAAATATCTCACGAACGGCTCAATTTTTTGTATTTGAATAAGAGTACCTTTTTCATGTAATTTTCTTCGCTCCATCAAATGCTCCTGTTTTTTCACCGAAAATAATACAGGGAAAAAAGTTTTCTACAAAAAATCATGACTCACCCTCTGAAAACACCCTTTATAACAATATCAGAAATGTGGAAGTGTGACGAAAAAATGTATTTTGACAATATACATTCATGCACAAAATTTCAATCGGGTGGCTTTCATCGTTCAGAAGTTATGCGGAGAAATTATTTTAATTTTATCAACTTTGGAAGGATATATCTCCCTTAATATGCATTTTGGGCCATGAGTTTAATCATCAAACTACACTTATTTTTCAATGTTCTATCACCCCCAGAAAGCTCGGTACACATTTTTGACTCACCCTGTATGTAATTTCATCGACTGTAAACATATATATTCCAAAAGTAGACATATAAGTGAAAGGGTACATATGCTAGTGAATAAATAATTATGATGTAGAAATCAACACAAAGATCATTTCATTATTGATACAATATGCATCATCTACTTGTCATTCAAGTCGCCTCCTTCTTCTTACGATATCTCCTTACCGGCGCCTTGTTGCCGGTTTTCAAGTCCAAAAGCGAGACACGATATCATTGGCTTGAGCGTGGCATTCAAGTCAACAAATCATGACTCTTCATAACTACTAAGTACAATTACTAGCAAACTGTTCATTAGGATAAAAAAATATTGAAAAAGTCCGAAGGCTGTTTACAAAATCACTCACTGCCGATGCACCTGTTGGGGAGCGTTTGATTATTGATTCTCGGAGTGTAGAGTGAGGTTAGTTTAAAGGTTTTATCAGTTGATTATTATTCCAAGAAGTATTCGAACGGAATTTCGGGTTATTTATTGACATCTGAGATTGACATTGAAAATGTGAAATATGTTTGTCAAGCTGCAAGTTTAATTCAGTCGGTTGAGTTCATGAAGTGATCAAATTTGTCGACTCCAACAGAACCTCACTGTCACTTTCAGCAGATTTTATGATTTCTTTCATCATCAAAATATGATGCTACCCATATCAGTCATATCTTCGCGAATATAAAAACAATCATAAACTACATTTCAAATGGATCTAACCTGATTTCTAGTTGAATTCATGAAACAATTTCAATTTGAAACAATTATTAAATATCAGAGGAAGGATTTTAAAAGTTGCTCACTGTCAATGTTTCCGTGTTCACATGTCCATCATCGAATTCGAGGTCAAATCCTCCTCGGAGAATATAGTCGCCTCCTTCTTCTTACGATATCTCCTTACCGGCGCCTTGTTGCCGGTTTTCAAGTCCAAAAGCGAGACTCGATATCATTGGCTTGAGCGTGGCATTCAAGTCAACTCAAGACTCTTCATAACTACTAAGTACAATTACTAGCAAACTGTTCATTAGGATAAAAAAATATTGAAAAAGTCCGAAGGCTGTTTACAAAATCACTCACTGCCGATTCACCTGTTGGGGAGCGTTTGATTATTGATTCTCGGAGTAGAGTAAGGTTAGTTGAAATATTTTATCAGTTGATTATTATTCCAAGAAGTATTCGATCGGAATTTCGGATTATTTATTGACATCTGAGATTGACATTGAAAATGTGAATTATGTTTGTCAAGCTGCAAGGTTAATTCAGTCGGTTGAGTTCATGAAGTGATGAGTACCGCTTATTGATGATGAAACCATGTGTTGTGCTGTATACTGTGTATCAAATTTGTCGACTCCAACAGAACCTTAGTGTCACTTTCTGCAGACTTTATGATTTCTTTCATCATCAGAATATGATGCTACCCATATCAGTCATAGCTTCGCTTTTAATGAAGCTGAAAGAAGTACTTGCCGGGTGTTAATTCTTCGAGGATATAAAAACAATAATAAACTACATTTCAAATGGATCTAACCTGATTTCTAGTTGAATTCGTGAAACAATTTCAAGTTGACACAATTACTAAATATCAGAGGGAGGATTTCAAAAGTTGCTCACTGTCAATGTTTCCGTGTTCACATGTCCATCGGATTCGAGGTCAAATCCTCCTCGGAGAATATAGTCGCCTCCTTCCTTTTGCGATACCTCCTTACAGGCGCCTTGTTGGCGGCTTTCAAGTCCAAAAGCGATTCGATGTCGTTCTTGTGGACCGGCTTGAGCGTGGCGTTTAAGATTGCCTGGCCGGGGCTCTTCAACACCACCTGCCCCCCTTTCATCCTGAGGATGCCTTGCTTGGCCATGGCTTTCATCTCGTCTTTGGTGAGGATGAACTTTTGGACTTTGACGACCTTGTCACCGATTTTTCGGTTGACGGTGGACTGCAAGGTGGTGGCCGCGTCGATTTCGATGGGGGTTTCTGGGATGGTCAACGAAGATTGCCTGGAGGTATAGTGTTTGTGTTACGATTTCGTTTAAATTAATTTAGCTTGCAAAAAGGGACATTAATAAATAATAAATTTATTGAAGAAGAAATACAAACAGGACGTCGAGGTCCTAATTACAAGATTTCTTTTTCCTAACTCTCATATACTGAGCCGTATCAACTATTTAATACATGTTTGGGAATCTTGTTCAAAAAATAATTTCAATAACATATCAAAGATTGTATAGAAAATCGTTAAAAGTATTGTATCGTCTCCCATTTGATACACCAACCAATCAATTGTATGAAATAACAAATATGTATTCTTTAGATGAAATAACAGCCGCTTTAGAGGTCCTCTTGAACCTGCCACCACTACAAATATATATTCAAGGCGAAGCCAGAGCAGTCGTGAGTAGATTTTCAAGGGGTCAAACACCCATAAGCAACGCGCACGGTAAAGACTATAGAGAGCTATATGACGAGTTGGAAAGCGACCCCATCATGGGAATGCCAACGGATGGCATAATTCCAAAATATAGCTTTGAAAAAACTTTCAAAAATAAGTATAACGGACAGAGAGGCATGGAAGGAAGGACCTCCAATCAGTGCAGACATTGCTGTCTATACGGACGGCTCCAAAACTGAGGAAGGGTCAGGAGCTGGTATTTATGGGGCCAAGCCAAAGACAAGAATCTCACTGAGCTTAGGTAAATACGCGACGGTGTTTCAGGCAGAAGTTATTGCAATGAAAGAGTGAAGTGAAAGAATTGATAAGGCAAGAGTTTAAAGGCAAAACCATTGCAATCAATCCAGAAAGCCAGGCGGCCATCAAAGCAGTCAAATCTATACAAGTTAACTCGAAACTAGTATGGGACTGCATAGAAACCCTAAATGAACTGGGCAGTCAGAACAGACTGACTCTAGCATGGGTACCAGCACATACAGGGTACGAGGGCAATGAAGAGGCATACTCACTTGCCCGAGCAGGAGCAAACAAAGCTCTGAATGGCCCAGAACCCTTCTGGGGTATTGCGAAAGCTATACAAAAGACTAGTGTCAAAACATGATCATTGTCGATCAAAATAGAAGTACGTCTAGTAGGTATAGCCTGCCTTGCAGTTCAGTTTATTTGATTCTATTTATGATTTATGCTTTGATAATACTTATTTTAGACCATGAAGTATATTTTGATTCCCACAAAGATGTGAGCTTGATTTTATTTATTTATTTACTTCTTTTAGTCAAGAATAAGTTCTAGTGTAAGGAGATAGTTGACAATAATATCAAAACAATAATAAGAAATTGTTAAATGTTATATGTAATATTTGAATTCATTGAATATCAAATGTGAACAAATTCATCTAATGAATATTGGTGAAACAAAAAGCAATGAATTATATAAGTTGAAAAACATTGAATTAATCATCTATTTCGATTAGAAAATGAGTTTTTTGATATTATATTTGAATTTTATCATATTTCTGCATTTTTTTCTTATCAAGTAATTTATTACATTCAAATAGAGCAGCGTGGATGAATATTTTTGTCCTATCAGTTTGGTCATCACGAATTTCATAGCTTCTTGTTGAAATGAAATTGAATTTCAATTTTTTATGCATGATACTGTATGAGATATTCATATTTTCAATTTAAATCATTTCATCTTATGAAATTGTTTCTGTTATTTTTAATAATTGATTCCATGATGTACAGGGTGATTCATCCATAAATGTCCCCCCTCTAGCTCAGTTATTTTTGAACAGATTCCAAAATTCAAAATATCATCTTGAATGATTTTCGATAAAGTTTTTTCCGCTACAGGTAAAAAAATTCTGAAAAATCATTTTAGATTATTTCTCAAATTTTCAAATCGGTTCAAAATTGAGTGAGCTAGAGGGAGGGACATTCATGGTGAATCACCCTGTACCATATAGTGAACAATACAGTCAGTTAGTCGACTTTCTATACAGGGTGTCCGCTAAAAGGAGGTCAATCCATTAACTATATATTCCTTGAACAAAAACAATATGAGTTTCTGAATACAATTTTTCATTTTAGCCCTTCATAATCGATATACAGGGTGTCAAAGTTGGAAATTAGAAACTGTTTTTTTTTTCTAATTACTCGCGTATTTAATAAGATATCAATCTCAAAATTGGTACATTACTTCACCACAAAGAGTTACATCGTGTGAGGAAAACAAGACAGAAAATAACTGTCAAATATTCAAAATACTGGGGGTCAAGTACACACTTACCCCCATATTTTTTCTGTACGTTCGCAAATGATTTCCTATCTTTTTTTTTCAAGTGCTCAATCAATTTTGAGTATTTTTTGTTTCTTGTGAAATTTCGATAAAATTATTTGTTTTTTAGATAATTCGAAAAGTACTGGTTATTGTTTGATGCTTATGCGGCTTACGGTAATCTCATAATGTTCACATACTCCTATTTACTTCGTCGAAATTGGAAGTCACTTTTTACGTACGAAAAGGTGAATATGGAAATACCGGGTGTTCAGAGCGAATGTATTAAAATAATTTTTACGAAAAAAAATTATATAAATTCAACACGTATAAATGAATTGCTCGATATGAATTTTCTGAGTACACATGCGAGCCCTTTTAATCAAAGAAAATCTTAGCCTTTGAAAAATATGTGGCTTATGCACAAAATCTTCCATACATCCATAGACAATCCTGATCTGCTATTTCTTTCATCAAGTAGCTATTAAAATCATGAATATCATAATTTCACCAAAAATGTCCGAAAATATTTTTAAAAAATTCCGCACCACTCAAACCGATTTATAAAAAAATGTGCTGTTCTCGAAAGAAATCAATTTGATAATCCTTTAGATGGATCGTCAATCGACCCCCCCCCCAATCTTCCTAAAATCATTATTCACCCGAAATTCCAAAAAAACTTTTTTTTATTTGACTCCGCAAAAAAAAAATATTTCACGCCGTTCGATTGGCAAACAAATTTTATTCGAAACGTGTCCTCACTTTTTTTAATTTTTTTTTTTTTTTGTAAAAATAATGTTAATACATTTGCTCTGAGCATCCGGTATTTCCATATTTACCTTTTCGGACGTAAAAAAATACGACCTCTTCCAATTTCGACGAAATAAATAGGAGTATGTGAACATTATGAGATTACCGTAAGCCGCATAGCCATCAAACAATAACCAGTACTTTTCGAATTATCTTAAAAACAAATAATTTTATCGAAATTATACAAGAAACAGAAAATACTCAAAAATGATTGAACACTTGAAGAAAAATAGATAGGAAGCCATTAGCGCACGTACAAAAATAAATATGGGAGTAAGTGTATACTTGACCCCCAGTATTTTGAATATTTGACAGTAATTCTCTGTTTTGTTTTCCTCATACAATGTAACTCTTTGTGCTGAAGTAATGTACCAATTTTGAGATTAATATCTTATTAAATACGCGAGTAATTAGAAAAAACAGTTTTTAATTTCCAACTTTGACCCCTGTATATCGAATATGAAGGGCTAATATGAAAAATGGTATTTAGAAACTCATATTGTTTTTGTTCAAGGAATATATGGTTAATGGATTGACCTCCTTTCAGCGGACATCCTGTATAATTTTTTTCATCTCTTGGAGCGCACGAAACGGAAACTCCTATAATGTTTTAAGAACATCGTGAGTACCTAGGGAGGATAGGAAGAGGAGGTAGGTATTGGAATTCTGTTTATAATACAGATATTTTCCACAAACATTTATCAAATAATCTAGCAAATAATTGATGCCAACTGAGTATGTAAGACTAAAGGATTATATTTGCAAATTGTGTATCAAGAGCTCAAATAACAGGAGATATGTTTTTGTCATATGTTTGTCCCATTACAATTTATCATAAAACCAAATCCCAACATACTTTTTCTGATTAGTTTGTTCCATTCATTTTTCATTTTGAGATCATGACTTTTTTATCCCTTTCAATTTCAATAATGGACAAATTTTATATACCGGGTCAGAAATCAGAAATCATTTATTCATCACAAAAGAATACACATCGTGTGGTGAAGACTACAGAATGCATAAACTCATCGGACTAGTCATGAAACGAAAAAATACAAAAACTAAGTGTAATACATAAGATACGATAGACTGAATAAATGACACAGGAGACATGCAACAGCCTTTAGTTTTGTTAGTTGGAGAGATAAAAATTTGAAATTCAGAAGGGTTATATGATCGATGATGGTGCTTCCCTTGAACCACCAAATTTTTTTCAACCACCTGTTTGATTCTAAAAAAAAAATTTTAAAATTGGTCTATCCGTCATTCGGTTGCCCCCTTACGAGCAACCCTCAGAAGTCTTCGAAAGACTTGTGCGAGCAAGGAATGACGGGGGCCTTACCTTTAAACGTGTGATCCCAAACACTTTCTTGGGCCATCAGAAAAATTTCTGCAGTCGATGGGAATCGAACCCACGACCGGCAAGCGAATGCGAATCAGAATATAGGTCCGCACGCCTACCTTACCCTCCTTGAAATTCTCCATTCAACTATGTATCACTATTTGATATTCGTTCATTGATTGGCTGTTAAATTGCATTTTATTGAAATACATGAAGTTGGCTGTGGCCTGAATACAATGACATTTCAATGCTTGATAGGCTTAGAAATCCAAAGATCATTACTTAGACACTACCTCAGAGACCGCGCAGATAAATCATGGTGTGCCTCAAGGATCAGTCCTAGGGCCAATCTTATTCTTCTTATATATTAATGATATGGCATTTCTTGATATAAAAGGAGAAATCACGTTATTTGCGGACGACACCACTATTGGCAAGATAATAATGATGAGAGATTATACACGAATGTGATGCGAGATATAAAAGTAATCAAAGACTGGTGTGACTCAAACCTACTTTCTCTCAACATTAAGAAAACCAATATTCTGACTTTCCATTGTAATGTCCCAAACTTGGAAATCGGTAATGACATATTAGAAAATAGAACATCAACAAGATTTTTAGGTTTGCATATCGATAACAAGTTGATGTTCAATGACCATGTAATATCTATGTGTAAAAAGCTAGCATCTGGATGCTATGCCATCAGAACAATTGCCTCTGAATTAGGGTATGCATCTGCCAGAACAACATACTTCGCCCACCTGAGATATGGAATAGCGTTCTGGGGAAGCTGTAGTAACCAATTATTTCAAAGGAGTTTTATGTTATAAAAGAGAGCTCTCAGATATATGTGCCATGCAAAATCAACAGATTCTTGTAAAGAGTTGTTTAGGGATTGTGGTATACTAACTGTGATTTTTTTATATATCTTGGAAACAGCTTCTCTAATTTACAAGAATATACGGTCTTTCCCACTTGTCTCCTCACGATATAATACAAGACAGAGCGGTCAAATAAAATTGATAATCCCCCGCACCACTATGATTAAGGATTCTATTATTTACTCTGGAATAAAAATATACAATCATCTGCCAAATGACATAAAAGGAATCGCATGTTATAAAAAATTCCGTACTAAGGTGAAAGCATTACTTCTTCAAACATCATTGTACAACTTGACTGAATATTTTCTGCGAAGCTTTAACTAGAGTCTCTCAAATTGCTGTGTGTATATATATATACATTACCTATTTTGTCTTTTGGATCAATTTATTTTTATTTATTTATATACATTTCAAGTGTTGTCAACAAGTGTGTGATTTTAAAACTAGTGTTGTTCATTTATTTATTTTTTATGTATCTTATGTGTATAACAAGCTTTATCAACAAGTGATAACTTAAGACAATAAAATATATTTTGAATTGAATTGAATTATCATAATATTTTCCATACCCCTAATCGGTTCCAGAAGATTGCCAATAATTTCATTGAATATAAAAAAATCATCCGAAAATAACTCACGATATTGAGAAAACCGCCTACCAAGCGAAATAATACTGAAAATGCACTGATGTAGACTTATAGACAGGCTTAGAAATCCATAATTTCATTGAGTTAAAAAAAATCATCCGAAAATAACTGACGACGAAAATGAAAATAGGTTGGCAACACTGCGCTTACCTCACAGAGATTTCTTCATTGACGATATGCGGTCTCCTTTCCGTCGCTCTGCCCTGATACATCTTAGTGCCCTCTTGTCGCACGATGGGTTTGAGCGGCTGCTGCTGAACGACTTGGTCCGCGTACTCCGCATTGTCGTTTTCAGGCTCATGCATCTCCATCTCTTCCTCCGAGTGGATCTCGTTCTTCATGTAATCTGAATAATAATAATAAATATACTTTATGGTCATGAAAGAATTTCTTCTAGTCGACAAAGCATGAAGTCAGTAAAGAGTATATATAAAATAAATATAAATTTACAACTATAATATTAAAATCACAATACTAAAATATCAAATAACACATTGAATGAATATTTTTTTGTCAAAATATGAGAATACTAACATACATAGGTATAAAAACAATCACTACTCAGCATACCCATATATTAGGTCAAATCGTGTCATCATAGAATTCTTTAAGGCTGTAATATGGTCTGAGCTTCAGCAGTTCTTTGACGATATATTTATCAAATTTCAATTTTTTGTCTATGACGACTCCCAAGAATTTGGTACAGTCTGTATTTTCAATGATTCCGTTATCAAGGGGAAAACTATAGAGAGAGCATCTGAAAGTAACTATATTTGTTTTATTTATATTGAAAGATAGAAGATTCGAGTCACACCATAACTTGATCTTTTTTACATCGACAGATATGTTATTCTTCAGAACTTCTTCTGTTTTACTGTGCCACAAAATCGTGGTATCATCTGCGAAGAGTGTTACTTTACCAGTCAAGTCAATATTGGTGAGATCATTAACATATATCAAAAAAAGTATGGGACCCAATACAGATCCTTGAGGCACTCCAGAATTGATCTCAATTTGCTTCCAGTATTCATTTGTATTTGATTTTACTGTTTTTCTTCGACCTATGATATATGAATTGAACCATTGCAGAGTCACTCCTTTACATCCATAGTGATGTAGTTTCCGCAACAGTATCTCGTGATCCACAAGATCACAAAACACTGCTGCCGCAACATCTCCACCATTGATGTTTGAGTAGACCTCATAAAGAAATGTAAACACAGCATCATGGGTGTTTTTATGTTCCTGAAATCCAAACTGATTCTCACTAATAATAATTATGCCTTAGAAGAAAAGAACTAAGTCGTTTCTTAACCAGTTTTTCTATTATTTTCGCAATGGTCGGGATAAGGGAGATTGGTCTATGATTAGAGGGGTCATCCAGGTTGCCTCCTTTGTGTAGGGGAATAATTACGGATGTTTTCAGGAAGGATGGGAACAAGCCATTTTGAAATGAGTGATTAATCAGTGATACTAGAACCCCAAGTACACTAACTGGAAGATTTTCAATAATCTTAATGGATATACCGTCATAACCAGATGCACTTTTATTTTTGATATCCCTAATTGTTTCAATCAGTTCATTTATGTTGGTGTCGTATAATACAAAATTGTTATTTACTGTGTGCTTTTTTAAATTATTCAAAGGTTCAAATGGTACAACAATTCTTTCGGTCAATTTTCTGTGCGATAAACAGGGATTCAGAACCACAGATGTATTTGGAGTATTATATTGTGGGTGAAAATTCCTCAAAAGTCCCTGAACTTACAAGGTGAGCCAAGTGCAGGGGGTGACGTAGAAGGATCCGTTTTTCAGTGAAAGCTCTTATTTCAACTTGCAATGCATGGATGTATGTTAGTTCGGGTGGATTCTTTGAACTCAATTTTGAAGTAGATGTCTTGTATCGATTGAGCTGAAATTTCGTTTGGATGACAATGCACGATAAGGTGTGAAAAGTTATTCTAAATCAAACATGGCGGATCATCCAAGATGGCGGAATAGTTATTTTCAATGCACTTCTACAATACGGGTATCAAATGAAAGGGCTCGTTGAGAGTAACTCGAAAAATAATGTGACGTCATTCTGAATCTAATATTGGGAACCATCCAAGAGGGCGAAATATGTATTTTCAATGCACTTCCACAATAGAGTAATTCGAAAAATAATGTGACGTCATTTTAAATCCAATAGGGCGGACCATACAGGACGACATAATAGTTATTTTTAATGCACTTCTACAATATGTATATCAAACGAATGGGCTTGTTGAGAGTAACTCGAAAAATAATGTGACGTCATTCTATATCTAATATGGCGGACCATTCAAGATGGCGGAATAGTTATTGTTATGTAAGGGGGTTGAATCCCTTATCAATCTACTTTTACAATATGGGTATGAAATGAAACTGCTAGTTGAGAGTAACTCGGAAAATAATGTAACGTTATTCTAAATCCAATATGGCGGAACTTCCAAGTTGACGGAATCATGCAATTCATTGAAAATACGATCATACCCATTTCAAAATGTTCCTCATTGCTTTCTTCCTGAACACCTTTTTGAATATGCTGCTGCTGCTGCCGTTTCATCTCAACCTGTTGCACCTGGTTTTGCCTCTGCTGTTGTTGCTGCTGCTGCTGCACAAGTTGCGAAGTCGGAATAATCTCTGAATTGTCAATGTCAGTTATCGTATACTGCCTAACGTCCTCGTTTTCATATTCATCTTCGCCTTCGAACTGCTCCTCGTCTTCTTCCACCGCATCCAGTTCTTCGTCGTCTTCTTCGTCTATTTTTTCGGAAAAAATACTTTTTATCAACAAATAAACCATTTCCAATAAACTATAGCAATTGATAGTACTGGTGATGGAACATCATATTTATTTTGGGTGTATGATAAATTGACATTCATCATACAGGGCATGGAAAGAAATTCTGAATTGGGACTCTATCACGAATCTGCGATTAGAGGTCTATAAAAATCACAAGTTTCCATCGTTCAAGATTGAACCCCCTGATTGGGTATGAAAGTGTTGATGAATGTCAATTTATCATACATCCAAAAGCAAAAACGTCCAAATGACAGGAATAGAATGTCAACAAATTTTCTCAGATGTCATTTTGTTATAGTTTTACTCGGTTGTATATATCATGAAGAATAGCTGTAAGAATAAGTGGACATCATGGTTACTGAAGAGGATTCAGAAATCCGAAATGGTTTCATTGCAATAAAGTCATAGAACCTGTGTGTGAGAGATAATATTTCCCATATCACTAATATGAATGATTATTTTTGGAAGTTTTCAAGCTCATCAAGATCAGAGTTTATGCCAGTATACTTCTCCTATACATTCCAATTTTCATTTCAATGCTGAATATATTGGTAAGTTATATTTCTATATACATCATATAATTCATCCGATTTGAAGAAGAATGTCAATTCTCAATTTCGGCGGATTTTATTTTCTATTTTTCATGTTCTCCTTTTGAATGTTCATCAGATATAATTCAATGTTCGACCTGGCAAATAGCCAGGAAAGTGGAATAGCCAGTTTTCTGTTGAATATTCAGAATGATGTGTGCATATACATATTTTTTTGTCTGAAGGAGAATGCAAATTCTCAATTTCAGAAGTTTTGATATTTTATTTTCAAACTCTTATCGTGTGTGTTCAATAGATATAATTCAATGTTCGTCGTGGCATATAGCAAGGAAAGTAGTTGTTTTCATTGAATAAACTGAAAAAGAGTAGATATTCTCATCACATAGAGAATGCGAATTCTCAATGTATTGCTTCATATGAAATATATCCATTCTTTATGTTCATAATTTATCTGAGGATATTCCTTTTCAACATCATATTGATAACTAAATAAGTCGATAACCAACAAATATGGTTTTACATTTATATGAGTTGCGTGCAAGATTGTCAGATTACCGACCCTGGAAGTGAAACATTGAAACACAACCTCACTCTTCTTATTTGTTTACAAGTGATTGAAATAGTTTTTCACAATTATTTCGGCATAGGAATCGTGTTTTCGGCTATTCATTAAATCGCGCATGCCATCATATTGTGCTGTTGTAGAAAGCACAAAAAATGCAGCGGGAGACGAATGAATCCGGTTGGTACATTATGATTTAAAAGTGAGTACCTACTATAGTCACTCACATATAGTTTTCATTTTTAAGATTTGGTAATTTCTCTGATTTCTCATCGGCATTCCTTCTGCGATAGGAACTAATAGAAATAGTCGTGAAATTTCTGAAATAATGCAAGAAGATTGGATTCATGCAATCAAACGGGAGGACTGGTCTGACATGCTGGCGAAATATGATCGTGTGTGTTGTAGACATTTTCAATCTTCTTCTATCACAGAAGTGGCAGACGGGATTTTAATAAGAAATTACCAAATTTCATGATGAAAACTATATCAGATTACTATTTACCTGAAAAATCATATTTCTTCGTCCCCCGCTGCATTTTTTGTGCATTGTACAACAGCACAATGCGAAGGCATGCTTGAATTGATTAATAGCGCAAAATACACGATTCGTATGCCGAAATATTGTGAAAAACTATATGAATCTTTTGATTTCTCTATAAAGGAATGAAAAAAGTGAGGTTGAGTTTCGATGTTTCATAGAAGAGTGAGGTTATGTTTCAATATTTGACCTCTAGGGTCGGTCATCGTGCACGCGACCTATTCAGTCTTGAAGCATAATCTATAAATCTGAAATCAGTACCTTTCAACTCAGAATCTTACATATTCAGTATTGATTGTATTCATATAAATCATTGATTTTCTCTCGGAAGATGCATAACTATCTTTCTCCACCACTAGATTATGTAGTTCTTTTCAAGGCGTCAACTATGTACTTGTTCATGATAGTATAATATGTAACAAGTGTTATAAACCGTATAAATGTCCTTTAAGTAACGAGTATTTTAAGCTCGAGTGCCTAGAAGAGTTTATAAACGCGTTACATACTATGTTTTTTCTACGAACTCATAATTCCTCTCTTCCACAAGACCATATACATAATACTATGCAACTGCATGCAACCAACGAGACACGTGACAAGTGATATTGGTTGTAGATGAGGCCAGGTTAGGTAAGGATACATGAATGGCTTGCTTACTAACCTTTGCAAATAAGAAGTTTTCATCTGACGTAGAAGATAAAAACTCTTCGATTCGTTGAGGTATCAGAGTTTTTGATATCTCAGGTTTGTATCCATATTCTGATTGCATAATTTTGCTCACATAAATACTGTATTTTACGTTTATTTTTACACAGAGTTCTTGGAAATTCGCATTTACCTAAAACATACTCTTCGATTTCATTTTCGTCTACTTTTCGCATACATTTTCAATGAATAATTCCGAGACGAAAAGAAATTGTTTGAATGATTTTGATTGCAACAAAATTCGAAAATGACAGTTGACAGTCCCTACAACTGACAGGCCAGACAGGACTCGAACGCCTGAAGGTGTGTTGAAAAACCCTGTTGCCATGACGTCTCGTCGTCGTTCAGGAAATTGTGATGCCATGGTAACGTGTTTAATTTTTTGAACAAATCACAGTACATATCCGTACGCTAAATGCCATTTTAGTTATGTGAGTAGAAGAAGACATAGATACCTCTGTTATAATTAACCCGAATTCACTGTTTTGATGCGGAATTCGCAGGAGTGGCACTCGAATCTATAGTCTGTTCGTTTGGGAGGCAAAGTAAGGGAATGTTTTAATGGAATTCTGTCGTAAATCAAAGTCAAAGAGAAACCTACCAGAGTAACCACATGCATTTATATATTGAGAACGGGAGCAGATTCGGTCCCGAAACGTCCAACTATTCTTAAAAATTCGATATTTTTTCAATATATCTATATTTCTTTCCTTCAAACATTTTTTCAAACGAATTGTCACTGACAAGCTACTGGATTTTTATTTTAGACTCCCTGATAAAAAAATTTGTAAAACGCATTGACATTTTGGGGCAAATCATCTGATTTGTCCCACTACAAATATATTGAAATAATACGAATATTTTTATTTTATAGAAACGAGGAGAGAAAATTCCAAAGAATCAAGTAAAATGAATATACCACCTCCTCGATTAACCTACAGACAGTAGCCATCAATTATGTTTCCCACCAAGCTATCCACTGCTTGTAAAGTACCTCGATTTTGTTAAAAACCGAACTGATTCTCGTGTAAAATATTGTTGATTTCAAAATAAGTAGAAAGTCGATTTTGATAATAATTTCGAAAATTTTGCCAATTATAGGGACAATTGAAATTGGTCGGTGATTTTCACACAAGTCGATGTCGCCTTTTTTAATTATATCGAAATGAGCTTAGTCTGTTTGAATATACTAGGAAAAATGCCTTGAACGAAACAGAAATTGTATAGTTTGGTGAGAGGATGCACAATATTATAATCTATTTGCTTGATTACTTTACTGTTCAAGTTATTTGCATCCAAACAGTTTGTATTTTTCAAATTATCAATTGCGTCCATCACTTCAACGTTATCGATAGTACACGTACACCTTTTCATCATATTTCAAGTTGTCGCTGATGTGTTGCTTGCAGTTGTCTTGAAGCTTGTATTGATAATATTTGATACACTCATGCGTCACTCAGTCATCACAAATACTTTTTACAATAATTACAAATAATCACCTCCCAAAAACGTTGGCTCTCGATGCCGTGATATACTGATAAGCACAACAACAACGATTAGAAATATACTTATCCACATTTGCGACTGAGAATTAGTTTGGGTTAGTGCTTCGGAATAATGAAATAAAAATGTTCACTAAACAGACCCATTTAGAGAATATGTTTTCTGCTCTTTCTTGCAGTTTTAATTCGGCGTAAATAGTTTCAGTGCAAAAAGATATAATGCCCTCCTTGTCAGTGAGTAAACTTTCACGAATGCGGTATCCGATTTTTCTCAATATTCCCATTAGCAACCAAAACCTTGGTTCAATAAGTAGACAGATCATTTTTAAAAAGAAATAATACACGTGACGACGAAAACCATTTTGTATCAAATTCATCAAGCTTGATTTCCATCCATTTAGTATGCTTTTCGGGGGCAGTTAACATTCCTGTTCGTTTATTTCCTCTCAATATTGTTTAACTCACGTCTGTCATAATGGAACGTGTATTATTGTCAACATTGTTCACTGATATCTCCAAGTACGTAATCTGTTTGCAGACGATTACGTACATTGAAGACGATTGTATTTTCATTAACACTCAAGGCAGAACATTTAGGATGTTTCAGAACACCAAAACAACCAGAATTAACTTCCATGTTGACCGCAATCCGAATCCAACGATACTCACAATGCAACTGGAAACGATACTTGTACTACATGGTGCTTCTGAAAGAGTGCTGACAAACCGACAAATATCTTTCGACTTCTTCGCTTAAAACGATTTCAAGCGATTTCGGATTCCTCTTAGGTCAAACTAAAGCAGCAATTATAGTGGATTTATTCAGCCGTTTCAAGTCTTCAGTATTAAGCCATAGGTTTTGAGTCACAAGTCGTAAGGAGAAAATGGCGATCCATGCAGCAATCATAAGGACTATCATATCATATCATAAGAAAAGCACCCCTTCATTAGGTCATTTCGCTCATTGTTTACCGGTTCTATACATGTTTAAGGTAACACAGAATAGATTTTTTCTATTATTCAGCAATTATAAATAGCTGTTTTGGATTTGATTCGATTCTTCTTCTTCTTTTGAGTTTATTGGATTTCTGTCTCCTTTCGGTTAGCAAATCCTCCAGATCAGGTTATTAATTTTTTCAAGAATTATATATGGTTATGTAATTGAATTGACTAAAACATATGCAAACAAATCCAAGATTAAAAACGGTATAGCGCACGGCTCATGCGCAAAGCATATTAGTCATAAGTTTTAAGTAGTAAGTCATAAGAGATGAATGTTGGCAAACTTTTCTTACGACTTATAACTTATTTCTGTTCATGACACTTGTATGAACATTTATATTGAAAAGCAACGACTGAACTTCCTGAGACCTATGACTTAATACTTATGACTTAAAACTTGATACTTAAAACTGCTGCATATGGTACGTCTATGGTTGGAAGATTCCAATACTTCAATTTCAAAACGAACAGACTATAATAGGTATAGTAGATATATTCAATAAATGGAATAGTCGAATATGCGAATATTCGATACATAGTGTCAGAATAAAACCGACAAACTTGTCTACGGATTCCTTACCTCATTTTGGAATGAAAAGTTCCTATCAACGTTTGTCTCAAAATACATGGAGAAAAATAATTGCAACTCGGTATATTATTCCAGATTAATCAATGTAGTGACATGGAGTTTTTTAATTTCGATTTCCAGTGGCGAAATTACGATCGTATTTCGCCACATTTTCCTTTATATTTTTTATTAGACAGATGAAATCTCAAATAGGTGTGTGAGACATCAGTTAGACTTATTTATAATTCACCTAAAAATAGTAACATTCCACATGCCTAAATCTAGAGGATCCTGAGATATTTACTGAAATGTGAGGATACGCCAAGATATCAGAAAATTTCTCAAGCTCCTGAAGATTCTCGAATGTTGAGAACATAGGAAACGTAGCAGAAGTTGGTCGACAAACTTACTTTTCATTCCACATGTTGTCATGATTTTATATTGAGTAGAGACCCCTTTTTCTGCTTGCCATGATCGCATAACGCTGAATTTTCACAAGATATCAGAAACTTTCTCAACCTCCTAAACATTCAAGAATGTTGAGAACATAGGAAACATATTAGAAGTTGGTCGACAAACTTACTTTTCATTCCACATGTTATCTCAAGGTGAACATTTTATTTTCAGTTTTGTCTTGAGGTCCGACCTGTTTCAGATATTGTTCGTTGAATATGTGAGCAAAAATTGAGCATTGCATTTTTTTTCGACATAGCAATTTAGTTTCCAGTCAAAGCGGCATGTTTACTTTGTTTTCATTGGTTCACATTCATTTTTGTTTGTGCTTATGGGTCATATCATCAAAACAAGCCGCTCAGAAGTGTTCAAGTTGTTGCCGTCAGGTGGGGCGACGTGTTATTTTCTATCGCGAATAGATGGGCAGCGTCATGCTGTGTATGACGTGCCTACCTTAGAACTAACGTCACTAGATGGCGATAGCATGACTAGATCATCATGCAGTATCCGGCGTCTTCGAAATTGGGGATATACCCAAAGAGTTGAGTTGTCCCAGTTGTCAGCAGACCGACAGCGCCTGGTGGGCCGAAACAGTACTGTCTCGCTCCTGCTGACAATTGGGGGAACTCTGTTTATCCTAGATCTCTCATTCATGAGATCTAGTTCAGAGTATTATCAAGGTATTTATAAATGACACTAATTGCTGTTTAGGATGATTACCGTCGTCTGCCGCCGAACCGACGTTCTTCTGACCCCCCTTGCGATGCGCCTCCGAGATAACCTCCTTCTCGATCTGGTCCTCGTACTCCATTTCGGCGTGCTTCAGCTCGTGCTCTTCCAGCTGGTCGGCCGACTCGAAGCTGTAATCGCACTTCTCGCAGGGAAAGGGCAGGCCTGTTAGATGGGTGGTGATGTGCTCCTTAACCATATTGGCCGTTTCGAACACTGTATTGCAGATGACACATCTGTGTGGAAATTAGTAGTATTAGACCGGCCGGTAGTCAATCAATCAATCAATCAATCGATTTATTGATCCTTTGGAACTTACAAGAGTTATAGGACAAGTCAACAAAGCAGCACACAAAAGTATAACAAAACATATAAGTGATGTTGATAATAATACTGTCAAGAAGTACAAATGCCTATGAATTAATATCACTCAAGCTCTCGTTTATTTCAAGATCTTTTATCATTGATAAACTTTTTCAAATTAAAACATTCAGTACATTGTAGTTTCGATCAGGTCAGCGGAATTCATAGTCGTCATATCCTTTTTAATTTGCAAAGAAAACGCTTACCGCGCGATAATACCTAGGTAAGCTGTATTGAAAGGTAACGACCGTTCCCATTGCGGAAAATTGCGAACCTAGCATCGATTCCGAATATAAATAGTACCCGAGTCGATGAGGCAATCATTCATTATCAACACAAGGCCTTATTAGTTCAATCGTACATAACACTCATTCATTGATTGCTGACTTCCAAAGTGGCACTATGCCACTTTGGGGGTGTGACATCTCCTCGACTTTGGTGCTGCTGCCCATAACATAATGTAAGTACCAAGAACCATCATCTTGTTTCTGTTGTTTGCTCGTTTCATGTTTGTTCTTTGCTGTTCCGCCCGTTTGTCACATTTTTATGTTTTCGTGATCAAATAAATTGTTTTTTGTACTTTTGAAAAACAATTCTCTCTATTTGGTGATGAATGTGGTTGGGTGGTGAAATGATTAAAATCCTCTCGTCAAAAAGCCAAGCGAGTAGCTAAGTCACGACCTATAGGAGGGTCAACATCTGAGTTGCGACACGTGGTGGAGGCGCTGTTTGTTCTCAATAATGCCATTATAACCTAATAGAACCATCTGAGCTGCGACGATACCTTCCTAATTAACAGAGTTTATAATAATACATGAATAAAACACACACAGATATTGATGTAAGGTTAAAATTATAAAATCAAAATTGACATAGATTAACCAAGTGCTCCTTGAAGAAATTATTGTATAGAGTGAGGACAAAGATCTATGAGTAGTTTGGATAATGCACGTTTGAATTTGCGAACAGGCAGGATAGTTTTCAAGTTTTGTGGTAGAGAATTAAACATGTGGACACCGCAAGTATTTGGTGGCCACTTGGTTATTTCCAGGTGCTTTAATGGCACATGGTAGTCCTCTTTCTTTCTAGTATTGTGAGAGTGCTTGTCAATATTCTTTATGTACACATTTTGATTTTGATGAGCATATGTCATAAGATAATAATCAAATTAGCTCTTAGGCTTCTTCGCCTAACTGATGAGACCCGGAAGGTCAAAAGGTCACACATTGCACCCTAAAATATCGTTGGGTTAAGGTGAAACCCGAATCCCAGTTTACTGCTTCAGATTCATTTGACAAAAGCAAAAGAACTTTTGGGATTTCGCAAATCTCCACCAATTTTGTGGCGCGTTTGACCCTTTCTAGCGGGAATGATTACAGAGATATAGAGTGTTCAAAATCGGGATTTTTCAACTTTAGGATTTTTTTGTGACAAAACTATTCATTATCGGTCAAAACAACTTTCATGTCCGTATCTCAACTTTCGATTTATTATCCACTGACATTTAATAATTGTAACAAATACAGGGTGATCAGAATTCTGAATCTTGAACCACTCTGTAAATGTTCCAATTAAATGTCAGTAGATAGTAAATCAAAAGTTGAGATGGGGACATAGAAGCCGTTTTGGCCAATAATGAGTTTCGACAAAAAAAATCCTAAAGTTGAAAAAATCTCGATTTTGAACACCGAGTTGAACACCCTATATCTCTGTACCTAATCATTCCCGCTAGACCCCAAGTGTGATGTATTGATGACATCAGCTCTTCAGGAAGAATCTAAAAATACAATGAAATACAGGGTGTTCCATTTGAAAAAATCAAGTAGTACTCTGTAGATTGTTTGTTCCTTCCGAGCACCCTTTATTTTCTGATGCAACGGGAAAAAAATCTGAAAAATCATTTTAGATTATTTTTCATATTTTTAAATCGGTTCAATAACAAGTGAGCTAGAGGGGAGGGACATTTATGGTGAATCACCCTGTACATCGTGATGAATATTGCAAAATGACTCTGTTCCTTTCTCGAATAGCTTGGCACGCGAAAGATGGTGGCAATGAAGAGTATTTTGAAATGAATGAATAAAGCAATATTTCTCCGTACATTTCCAATAAGTGACGTGAGATGTACAGGGTGATTCACCATAAATGTCCCCCCCTTTAGCTCACTTATTTTTGAACCGTTTCAAAAATTTGAAAGATAATCTAAAATGATTTTTCAGAAATTTTTCCCCGTTGCATCAAAAAATACAGGGTGCTCGGAACAAACGATCTACAGAGTACTAATTGATTTTTCAAAATGGAACACCCTGTATTTTATTGTATTTTTAGATTCTTCCTGAAGAGCTGATTTCATCAATGCATCACACTTGGGGTTTAGCGGAAATGATTACAGAGATATAGGGTGTTTAAAATCGAGATTTTCCAACTTTAGGATTTTTTTGTGCCGAAACTATTCATTATTGGTCAAAACGGCTTCTATGTTCCCATCTCAACTTTTGATTTACTATCTAGTGCAATCTAATTGGAACATTTACAGGGTGGTTCAAGATTCAGTATTCTGGTCACCCTGTATCTGTTCCAATTATTAAATGTCAGTAGATAGTAAATCAAAAGTTGAGATACGGACATGAAAACCGCGTGACCGATAATGAATAGTTTCGTCACAAAAAAATCCTAAAGGTAAAAATCTCGATTTTGAACACCCTATATCTCTGTAATCAGTCCCGCTAGACCCCAAGTGTGATACATTGATCAAATCAGCTTTCCAGGGAGAATCTAAAAATACAATGAAAAATAGGGTGTTTCATTTAAAAAAATCAAATAGTACCCTGTAGATCGTTTATTCCGAGCACCCTGTATTTTCTGATCTAGCGGAAAAAAACTTTATCAAAATCATTCAAGATGATATTTCAAATTTTAAAACCGGTTCAGTAATAACTGAGCTAGAGGGGGGGACATTTATGGTGAATCACCCTGTACCTCATCTACCAGAACCTTTAGGTGACTTGGACATGCGCAATCGGTAAATAATTTTATTTGTAGCATATGTATACCACAAACAGGTATACTTCTCAAACGCAGCCTGTTTGAAAACGAGGAAATATGTTTTTTTTTGATGCAACTATACCTGACCGTGACTACCTTTTGAGCTTACGCAAAACTTGAAATTGCAAGTCCTTTCAAAACAATTTTTTCCATAAAAATGTATTCTTTCATTTCGTTCTTTCGTTCGCACGGTTGGTGTACCCATTTAAAAAAAGTAAGAAATTTGCTGAAAACTTTCTGAGCTATGCGCGTATCTACAGTACATATATTTTTTAAATTTTTTGGATTTTTCGTCTTTTGTATTTTTTGTTGTTTTACATATTACAAAATTCAACCCAATCGGTAAAGCCGTTTAGTAGTTGACGTACCGACAGCAGCGCCACCTACCGCGTCCAATTGTATTTTAAATCATCCACGAAACCATCGAAACACCTATATAAAATTTCATCCCAATCGGTTCAGCCGTTTAGAAGTTATGTGAAAAAGATAGGAAAAGTACGGAAGGATAAGGCTTACCACCCGTTGTTCTATTACCCCGTTTTCCCGTAGGAATGAAGCATTTTCCCGCGGTAAAAAGTAGCCTATGTCCATCAGGGATAATATCGGCTTCTAATGGTAAAATAATTTTTTCTACAAGCGTGCGTGATTCACCCTATACCCGCACGCAATTTGGTTTGGAATGTGTCATTTTCCCGCAACAGTACGAGAAAAGTTTTCCAACACTAGTGCGGGAAATTTTTTCCGGCACTAGTGCGGGAAAAACAAAGATATAATAATATCGCAGAATATAAGTGGTAGTGGTGATAGAATAGGAGAGATTGAGTTTGTTTGTTGCAATATTAGGTATGTATGTTCAGAATCATCCATCAGATTGCACTATTTATTGTGAAAATTAGGAAATATTGAAAAATGAAAATTGATTATTATAAAAATCCTCCTATAGATTTGGATTGATCTGATGGGAAGGAATATTGGTGTCATGCCAATCAAACCCCAAATAAATTTGTAATTGTCGACGTTACTGTCATTTTTGATTCAGTGGAATAGCCACAATGTCATCAAAAACTTCCACCTATTATAGGGATGCGACACATATGCGTTATTGCCAACGAAGTCTTAAGAAAGGTATGAGAAGCGATACACTCGTTTTATTGAATGGTGCAAAAATAAAGAAATGAAAATACAGAATAAAGAAGAAGTATTTTTGGCTCATTTCCTGGAAGTGTCTGAAACCTCTGGAACTTAGAGACCAAACACCTTATGGACCAGCTCGTTTCCGCAATGAACCTACATAATGCGTCAAACTGTAAGTTCACAATAGCTATTACTAATGATTAGGAAATAGAGAATATATTTCTCTTGTTAGTTGTTCCTATTTGCATGAATAATTAATTGAACAAATCGATCAATTTCCTGTAGAAAAAATATTGTTCCTAACTCATACGGAAAGTGTCTTTCCCGCACTCCGCTTCGCGTCGTTCGTGTCAACGGCAGTCGCGTGCGGGAAAGAATTACCTTCCGCACTTGTTAGGAAAATTACTATTTCAAATCGGTCCGATATTTCTTACTACCCGTTGTTCTATTACCCCGTTTTCCCGTAGGAATTGAGCCTTTTCCCGCGGTAAAAAGTAGCCTATGTCCATCAGAGATAATGTCGGCTTCTGATGGTAATAGTTATTTTCCTAACAAGTGCGGAAAGTGATTCTTTCCCGCACGTGACTGCCGTTGACACGAACGACGTGAAGCGGAGTTCGGGCAAGCAGTCGAGTGCGGGAATAGTATATTGTGCAACAAGTGGGAAAAGTTCAACTTTTCTCACGAGTGTGGA